TTAATTGATACATATAAAATATTATGGTAAAATATTTGTTGATAAAAATCAAGCAAAAATAAATATTAAATGAACAAATAATGTCGAAAGTTTTTAATTGCCTTCATAATTATTATATACTTTTGCGCTGTTTCATTTTGCATTTAATCTTAAATCGTAACGAAGACTTATTTTAACGTTTAAAATTCGTAGAAACGTTAACGCTTATTTGTCCCATATTCAAATCCTCTGCTGGCTCTGCTTATGCAGGTGTTTTTGTTCAAGTGATGAGGAAAAAATTCATGTTATTGCTATTACCAGCGATTCAAATCTCCAAGAACTTCGCTTCGGAATGCTATAATTTATATTAATCTGCAGGAGGCTATTATATTCGTGCCAACTTATTAAACAGCTCCAAGGTGCACGTATGCATGACATAATCGACTGAATATATTTATGCTCGTGATGCCATAATTGTGCTCATGCCGGAGGAGAGACGAGGATGACGGATGAATGAGTAAAGCCAGGTCGAGTCACAATTCGACTCCACCTGATTGGCAATGGAAATAAAACTGGATGGATGGTGTCATCGGTCAAAGTGAGAAAATTCTCACATGACACGACAATAATCGTAAAAAACAGACCTCTTGTGCAGAACTTGTTTCATTTCGCCGGCGCATCTGTTCGCGAAATGCGGCCAATTTGATCGCGGATAAAACCTGTCACGCCGATCCATCACAAAACAAATAAAAAGTTGCTCGCCATGCTCATCGCGCGCCTGCAGCTATTTTTCATTGAAATCGAAACCGACCAGATTTATGTAAATATCATGCAAGCGATTTTCCACCACCGCTGAATAAGAATATGAAAGAGCGCCAGAGCTGCATTCAACCGACGACAAAACAAATCGAAAAAAACTCGAAATTGCTCCGGCGGGAGTTTCGAGGGCTCAAATCGATTGCCTACAGCTCTATGCAAATAATTTCAATAGTCACCGAAAACAAAAATAAAAAAAATAAAAGGAAAACAAAAGCCAGCGGCTCCGTTTTTCAACCTGGGAATAATTTTTTAATGAGTGGATGTGTAATTAATAAGGATAGGCTATTATTTGTGTGTGTACATTGTTATGGTATAAAACGATTATTATTAATTTTTTTTTTTTTTTATAACAAAACAAAACAAAACAAATATATTTTCAAAAAATAACAGGAGAAGAAAATTGTAAAATGTATCATGGGAACGTTGAATAAGCATAAAATATAATGAAATATTCCATTTGAAAATTTTCAGAGTACTTTAACAGCGACTTTACATTATTTCACTAAAAACATACTACCGGAATAAATATTTGAAACCCTTTCTATTTTCATTCATCATCGTCAAGCAATATTTTGGGTTACTTTCAAAGGTGATTATTTGGAACAAAAGATTCTTTTCCAAATAAATTTATTGGTTTAGCTATTTCTGTTTAAATAGACCTCATTTGGCTGAACTAATTTGTTTTAATTGTTATATAATCTACGGTGTCCCAACAAAATACTTTAACAGCATCTTACAATTATTATTAGTGAATCTTGAAATGTCTTGAAATTAACTTTTTACTAACAATAAGATTTTTTTATAAATAAATAAATCAATGCAAATTAGAAATAAACAAAATTATCCTTTCCATTGAAATATTTGTCATCTTTTCCTCCTAAAATTAAAAATAAAATTTTTTTTGTCAAAATGTGACCAAATCCTGCACCGGAAAATCCTTGAATATTTTTGCCTATAATATATTTGCCCATCCCTAGTAATTAATGCAATTTGTCACGTACCATATATGTACGTTCAACAGTGGGTGTAATTCATGTTGTATTGTCTCTCCACGAGAATTTCAATTGGTTTCGTTGGAAATGAAAAATTATTAGCAGGTCAGAGACGGAATTTCAAGAATCGACAAATGCATAATGCAAGGATGTCCCGCGATTCCAGTAAATAACGTTTTCTATTCCTTGCGATTAATTCTCTGCTGAATGAAGGAAATTTCATTACCGGTTTTGACATTCTGGTGAGGTTAGATCGACGGACCGTCGTGTTTTCCTCTCTCGTTTGCATTTATACACGCAGGTTGGGCTGTGATGTGCTGCTTTAACGTGTCCTCGCCTCAATGAAACATTGCTCACAAGACAATAATTAATTTTACAGCTCGGTGCCAGCGCGCTTTTAATGCTAATTCACCTGCTTTTGCCTGCACGCTTGGTACTTTTCCAACTTTCCTCCGGACCACGGGCGCGTGGTCGAGATCGTATATAACTCACGTTGCTGACCACATCCTCCCGGCCAGAAAGGGGCACTTTGCTCGCCCTGTCCGCTTCGCATTGTTTGCGTTTTTTACGTCGCGTTACTTCCCGAAATCATAAAATTCACTCACTGCCCTCTAACAATTACGGCAAATGGATTTAGTTGCAAATTTTAGAGTACTGTTGTAGACCGTCTTTTCCAGCTAAACAGTTTTTGCAAATATCCTAACCATTTTGAATTTTCAAAAAGTCCTTTCCCATGAGTTCATATTTAAACGACAGAATGAACAGAATTGTAAATCCTATTTTTTATATTACCATTATTTGGAAGGTTGCCTTTTGGAATTACGTGATTTTTTTTCAATTTTAATTTCAACTGGCCCTGCTCAGACTTATAAGCGTCTGTTTGTTATTATTGAAATAAATAAAATTTTGACAACAAAAACTTGAAAGTTTTGGAATTCATTTGGTTTATCATCGCTGCTTTTCTATACTTTTTAGTTTAATTTACATTATTTTTAATAACCTACCAGTAGAAGAGGAATATTATTTTAATTCGACAAATGGTAACCTGGTAACGCACCACATAGAGTAATAGCAAGATCAAAACTATGTAACTGAAATGCTTGTTGAATGATTATTATTTATAATACAAAAAAGATTGTTAATTTCACGTGATTCAGTGATAGAATAAACATAATATTAAATGTTAACATGCAAAAAGGTACTATGTTATTTGAATTAATTTGGATATTTATAAAAATTCATTTAAATGCAAACTATGTATAATATTAAAATAAAAAGAATTAACCTTTTATTAAATTATATACATATTATAATAAAATCGTAATATTTTTTTTATATTCAATGTTTTGAAGCGGAACACAATTGGATGCTGTCCACGCAAAATCTTTTAAATTTTCTGGTTTATATTTGATCCCTGCTTTGTTGATTAAATGGATTAGATAAAATGATATTAGTCAGTTGCGTTTGAAATTTGATTCAAAATCGTGAAGCTGCTGTTGTATCTGCATGAAAAATATCAATAATTCAGAATCGCAAATAATCATGGTGCGCCTATTTAAGTTTTTTTGGTTCGCAAACTGATGTTGTTCAATGCGCATAAATTTTTAAAATTTCAAATCTGTTATTTGATTACTTCCATTTTTCTAGAAATTTCCCTAACCTGAAGTCATTTTAAGTTAAAAATTAAAAAAAAAAAATTAACAATTTTTTGTATCTTCATTTGCACGATTGGTGCATATATGTTATCTTCAATTATTTGTTTGTCTACATCATGCAGCAACAATAAATCTCTTTTACTGAACTATACCTGAACAAATATGTTATGAATTTTGTAGTTATTTGTGAATGTTTTCAATTGATCACTAATTAAACCAATTCAATATTATATAATAATAATTATATCACAACTAATGCATACATTTCTGCTACACAAAACATCGCTTACAAGGTTACGAGCGAAGAAGAATAAGGAAAGTGTGTAAGCATCTACAGGGCATTTATCCCCAAACGTCCAAATGGACCCTAATATAGATGGACGATTTCCCATTTGGAAATCAACGCATTATCAGCATCAGAGCAGGATAAAATTGATGCTCTTGGGATTTTTCGCGGCGTCGAAAGCCGTTTGATTTCCGAGTTTGACGCTCGAATGCCAACGAGGGTGTCCCGCGGGTGATCAGGCGTCCGAATAATTGATGCCGGATGGGCCGACGCCCCTCGATGCATAGGCAATCCGCCTAGCCCGCCCGTCCGACAGAGACGCCAATCACATCGGCAGCTTAATTATTCATTAAAGCTTCTAAACAAGCCCGATTTATTATTCAGCCGGCAGCATGCTTTCCCTGAATAAACATACTTAAAAGTATCAGGCGGCAGCCGTTTAAATAATTAATTATTTTGAGAACCAACTCCTCCGTCTCGTTTTAATTACCTACGCCTTATCTCGGCTTTTCAGAGCCAAGAGATTTTTGATCACGACCCCTAGAGCCGCGTTTGATATGACGGCGCACGTCCTTTACACGCACCGGAATGAGAAATTTTTGGGTGCTTTCTTCATTGGACTTTGTTTACGATTAAAGCGGATTCGTCAAATTCTTGTTCGTTAATTTATGGCTCTTGGTTTTCAGATAAAAATTCCCTTTCGAACCTTCCGAGATTCGTTGCCAGAGAATTTTTTCTAGGAAAATTAATTAATTGTCAGTGAAATCATCAGCGCACAATGTAAAAGATTTTAAATTTTTATTTAATTCTCAGAAAAGTGGAAGAGTAATATAATATTATAAAAATTTCAACTTTCATAATAATTTTCACACGAAATCATGATCTGATCATGTCTTTGAAATCATTCTCTCTGCCAAGAGCCTTCCTATTTTTAGCGTGATTTATTTGTAATGCTATATTTTAATTAGTAAAAAAAAAATAGACTATATTTATAATTTCTTAATTTTTCTCCGTTAGAAATTACTGTAAAAATATTTATTCAGCAGCAATCAATTTTCAAAGTAATGCAAGATTTGAAAAAAAAAAATAAGTTTCCATCTTCAGCGATTTCACAACTTTGCTCTTCCAACTTTTCGTCTGTATTCAGTCGTTCAGCCTAATGCAATATGAGGTCGGATCTCTTTTCATATGAAATTTGGCCAAAGTGCTCAATAGCAGCGAAACCGTACAAACTTTCCAGACGGGATGAATTATTATTCGACTTCTTACCTTGAGAAACAGCAAGGGCCAAAACCACCGTCGAACATGTTGTCTGCACCAACCTGAGGAAAGAAGAAAAGTGCTGTCAGTTGCGAACACGCAGGAAAAAAGAGAAGGGTGATTCGGCCCTTTATAGAGGTGTTAATGGAACAAAAAACACGTGCTATACAACTAGGAAAATTAAATTTTACGACGGTGCAGCAGCATTTTATTTTTCCCAGGGGCTCGATCTAACGAGAGTGTTTGTACGCCGAGCGTTTATATTGGCAGGAGAAAGGGAGAGATGCGCCCTTCCGCATGCAAATCACGGCGGGACACTTTCCTCAGTCCTTGCACCTGGTTTCCAAATTACAACCGGCGTTGGACGACGTTGCTCGGAGATAAAATAGCGTTTGTGAGGCTTTTTAGATCTTGACATTTGAATAAGAGTCGGAAGAAAAAATAATTTATTTATCGCCTCCATCTGCTCTTGCTTTCGTCAGTTCATAAAGGTTGAGGTCAGTGCTTTGTTTGAGACGAGCTGAAATATTAAAGAAAGTGTTCACGTCAAAGAAAGTGTAATTTACTCAAGCTAAATTTCAAATGAACTGTAAAAAAATATCAAAATTAAAAATTAAACTATTTGTAATAATTTCGCTTTGAAATGTACATTAACAACGAAAGAAAAATAATTCCATATTATTTGAAAAGAATTTAATTTAAAAATGACATTGATCTTCGAATACTTCGTAGTTAATTTTATTTTAATTTTTATCAAAATCAAGTACCAATTTCAAATAACATTGACAAACAATAGCACCAGGTCTAAAAGAATTTAACTGTTGTTCTTATTTCTGACATTAACATTTGATAGTAAGTGATTTATTTAAAATATCTGTAAAAACAAAAGCCTTTCAACTGGGAATAATAGTCTATTAATAATATTGTAAAAACGCATAATGTATATTAATATAATGTATTAAAATTTTATTAAAATTCATAAATGTTTTAAAATGAAATGTTAAAATTTTAAAAATTAAAATGCAGAATTTCTTAAGAACCTAAAATTTGTTACATGTTCATTATTTAAACTTGTGAATGATGGAACTAGACTATCAAATGGGAGTTAATAATTGAAGTAATAATAATGCAATCGATTTTTCTACGAAATTAAAAAAAAAATGTTTATATATTATTTTGAAAATCAGAGGTTTTTGAGCCCATAATCTGAAATTCGACTATCAAGCCATGCATTTGTGTGCAAAGGAATTTAGATTTTTCTATTTGCTTACTCCTCCGTGTTGAGAGATAAGATATAGAAAAAATAAAAAATAAACATCCCCATAAGCCAGCAGGAAAAGAGATGCATTGCGTCGCAGCTACACCAAAATCTCTGGTCGTAAAACGCCTCTCCTAATTTTCCTGCGGCTTCGCGCCCCCCAAATTAACGCTTTAATTGAAATTCAGTGCGCTTTTACGTTCCTGACGGACGCGCGTGCGAGAAGCAGGAAGATCCATTTTTTGACTCGTCCTCCTTTTTCTCGGACGGTGCACCATAAAATATGGTTTACGGCCGGCAGCGTAACTGATACCGGCAGCTCCGTCTCCATTACACGCTGCAGATTGTTCGATTAAAAATAATAGGGGTGAGATTGGAAATTAAAAAACAACTACATAGGTGCGTCTCGGCCATAAATATAAAAAAAACTTCCCTTTTTTATTCCAGCGGGTCGAGAGAGAGGACTAGGCCGCGAGACCAGTTTTCTTTCCTCGGCAGCGCCGCCGCCGTTTTGATGAATGGGCCGAAATTAACTTGTCAAATTTACAGCCTAATGTCTGAGCGAGCAAGCCCAGCCGAGCGGCGCAAAATGTCTCGCGTTTCTTTTTTAGAATAATTACTGCGCGGAGAATCAAAAATATTTTAAGCTTAGAATTAAAATTATGATCTTGCAAATTTATCGGTGTTTTCGATGCGCAGAAATGAAAAGTTGTATAATTGAGGACTTTAACAATATAAATTAACCATGGATATTTCATTATTTCTACAGGCGAGATAACTAATAGATGAGGTGTAAATTAAGTTAAATTATGCTCTTATGTTGCACAATTAATGAGAGTGCTACAATTCTAGATTATAGGTGAGCTGTGCATAATGAATCTGATATAAATACTACTTATAAAAAATAGTTTCTATCTACTTTTAATGCAGATTTAATAAAAATTATAGTTGATTCGTTATTAAATTGAATCGTCGGGGAGAGATAAAATGAATTGATTTTAGAACACATAATAGAACTTGCGTCGATATAAAGTTACTATACAGGAATTTGTAATGTGGTTTGCAAAATAATTATTAAATAAATTATGAGAATGATAATCTCAAAGTCATTCCCAATAAAAATTATAACATGTTGAAATGGAAAAAGGGGTTAATACAAATTTATAAAAATTCGATTAAAAAATAAATTTATTTTAATACAGAATAATAAAAATCGTGTAAAATTAAAATAATAAAGCAAAAGTACTTTATTCAATATTATTTTGCATGAATTAAAAAAATAAATAAGTATCTGCTTCATAATATTTTTTGCATAAATTTTGAAATATTTACACAAATAATGTGACATGCATAAAAAATTGAATCAACTTTTGAACAAAACTGCACCACTAATAGCAAATTGCTTTTGAAAACTTTCAAAATCAACTCAAATTTTAAATTAAATTCCCATATAAGATCTAACGTTTAATATACAGTATTTTTCAATAAACATAATAATTATGAACAAATATTGACTTATTTGCTTAGGAACCACAATCACATTGTTTGCTTTAAAATGAATGAGAGATTTATATTATCATCAAGCTTTCTAAACAATTAAATCAATCAGTCAACCGTTATAAATATACTGAGTAATAACTTATTATTATATTTAACTGATAATTATTTTCCTCGATTAAATTATGTGACGAATGAGAGAGAGAGAGGAACATCATCACTTATACATAATTTCATTTTTCATCTGGCACACAAATCAATTTATTATTTTAATATTTTCTAATGGGTATTGTGTTCATTCAAACTCGCATCATTTCTCTCTCATTGTGAAACGCAAGCCGCGCGACTAAAAATATTTATGCTCAGCATCCAGCTCGTTTTTGTTCTTGAGCGAGAGAGGACGGATCTTGAGTGTGTTTCCTGTGTTGGCGAGCGAGAGGTCAAAAGTGCCTCGACACAGAGGCCAACTCTTGTGCGCTCTTTTTTTCTGCTCCACAAGAGCTCCTTTCTTTTTCTCTCCGAGGAGAGCAGAATGAATGGGCGCCTGGCCGTCTAATTGCAAGACAAAGCCCGAGATATTCATCTCTCTCAGCAATGCAAATGCGACTACAATTTCTCCGTAATGACTTAATTGAGTTGTTACTCCGGCAACTCGCGCACTCCATGAATTTGTATGAATTTATATGGACTGGTGGAAACTTTGATTTATTTTTCATTCACTCCAAAGTTCATTCTGGCGATGGATTTTTTGCACACTTTGACTTACGTGTTACGTGAGAATAAAAACGACATTTTATAACTTTTCAAGGAAAACAAAAAAACTTAATTATGCATTGATTTTTTTATATTTCTTTTTAATTTTTTATCTAATAGACAATAAGAATCAAAAGTTTTAACACTAAACATATAGCAATTTTAAATTAACTTTTGTCTATTAGTCTTACCCTATTAGGTAATGTTATAGTACGCGCGACGTGTTTTTTCATAGGTTGGCAACACTTATGCTCCCATGTAAAAGTATCACGTCGCGCGCTCTATACTGGTTTTACGTCGCGCATACAATAATGGTTTTACGTCGCGCGTTCAATACTGGTGGCGGTGAAATTGTTAAGGAAACCGATTATTCCATCGATACCTTGGCAACATGTATAGCATGCGCGACGCAATTCTTTTCCTACAATCTTAATTAAGGGGACTGCTAGGAAGAAAAGGGGCCCTTGGGATGGGTTCAGAATGGGGCAAGACGATCTCTGGAGGGCCGTGCGCACCCTTATAGCAGGCGCGACGTATCACTTTGGGACGCGCGACGGTCGAAAAGCGAACTCCGGAGGGCGCTTTTCACCATCGTCAGAGGCGCGACGCATGGTTATACGACGCGCGACGTATGCTTATAGTACGCGCGACGCATGCTTATAGTACGCGCGACGCACGGCAAATTAATTAAAAGGTGTTGCACGCGGCCGGAGTTGTGGGCACCCCACGAACCGGCAACTCGGAGGTGGGCAACCCCCAAGATTAATTTTTGCAGAAGCCGCGAGCGAGGGGTGGAGGCGCAGCGAGGTCGAGGACGTGGGGAAGGCCGTGCGGAGGGCGAGGACAAAAGGGCGGCTGTGTTCATGAGGGGGCTCCTGCGGAGCCCCCTCACGAACCCCGCCCTTTTGTCCCGCCCGGAGCCGGCCTTCACCACGTTCTCGGGCGAGCGCGCCTCCAGCCCGAAGCTCGCAAACCCACAACGGAGTTGCTTAAAAAAGGAATTTTCTGCAAAAAGGGCTTAGAAAGCAAAAAGTGTGGTGCCCACAACTCCCTTTGCAGACAACACCTTTTGTGGGCAACTCCGTTGTGGGTTTGCGAGCTTCGGGCTGGAGGCGCGCTCGCCCGAGAACGTGGTGAAGGCCGGCTCCGGGCGGGACAAAAGGGCGGGGTTCGTGAGGGGGCTCCGCAGGAGCCCCCTCATGAACACAGCCGCCCTTTTGTCCTCGCCCTCCGCACGGCCTTCCCCACGTCCTCGACCTCGCTGCGCCTCCACCCCTCGCTCGCGGCTTCTGCAAAAATTAATCTTGGGGGGTTGCCCACCTCCGAGTTGCCGGTTCGTGGGGTGCCCACAACTCCGGCCGCGTGCAACACCTTTTAATTAATTTGCCGTGCGTCGCGCGTACTATAAGCATGCGTCGCGCGTACTATAAGCATACGTCGCGCGTCCTATAACCATGCGTCGCGCCTCTGACGATGGTGAAAAGCGCCCTCCGGAGTTCGCTTTTCGACCGTCGCGCGTCCCATAGTGATACGTCGCGCGTGCTATAAGGGTGCGCACGGCCCTCCAGAGGTCGTCTTGCCCCATTCTGAACCCATCCCAAGGGCCCCTTTTCTTCCTAGCAGTCCCCTTAATTAAGATTGTAGGAAAAGAATTGCGTCGCGCATGCTATACATGTTGCCGAGGTATCGATGGAATAATCGGTTTCCTTAACAATTTCACCGCCACCAGTATTGAACGCGCGACGTAAAACCATTATTGTATGCGCGACGTAAAACCACTATTAAACGCGCGACGTAATGCAAGTGATGCCAACTGAAATCAGGGATTTTGGGAAACACGTCGCGCGTACTATAACATTACCGTCTATTAAAATTAAATAAAATTTTGTCTCTGAAAATAGACATCATCAATTTTTTTTAACAAGAAATTAAAACATCATTTAAGTTCAGTGAACTTCATAAAAAAATTTAAATAATAACTTGTTAAAAATACTTCCATGATTTTTTGCTTGAAAACTTTGATCTGGGGTGCTGGGGTGAAATTTCCAAAAATTTGACCTAAGAAGTAGATTTATTAGAAAAAGATACTTATTTTTAGCAGTTTATAAGAATTTATTTTTACCGTCAGCGTATTATATGACGAGAGAAAAAATATTATAAGGCCCCGAACGAAGATGACGCGTTATGGCAAACACACAAAAATTGTATATATGTGAGCTTTTTATGACAATATGGCTCTCGTTATGAATTGAAGCCGCCGGGGCAACACACTTTACGTCTCGCGTGCTAAATAATGACACTCGTAAAACAAAGCATTAAGATCTCGCAGTAAAAAAAAAACATGCGCAGCACCTCGGAAAAGCTGCGTATGTTGGTAAATAAACCGCCAAGTTTCTGGTACACAAAATATATGAATTCCCGCCGGTGTTGGATTTCGAGAGAGAAAGAAAGGAGATGAGTGTATGAAATATGAACTTTATGCCCGCAGAACTTAATGCTTTTGCTAGCAAAATAATCATATTACTCTTCCTCTTTGCTTCGACTTTGTTTGTTACTTTGGTGCAATTATGACAATTGTATTCTAAAACTTCAGAAGTATAGATAATAAAAATATATAAAAAATTAAATTGGAAGCTAATATTTGAGGTCCATTAAAAGTTAAAAAATGGCGTGAAATTTCTCAAATTTCTGAACGTAACAATGCGAGAAGCGCGCGAGAATATAAAAAGCTTCTCTTGACGTACCTTTTTTAAAATGGGAAAAAATTCCAACAAGACTGATTTAAATATTTGACAATAATTTGTATATTTATAAAGATCAAATCCAAAAATTCTGTTTTTATTTAAAAAAAAAAAATCAAAATTTAGAATGGCGCGCAATTTAGTGCAAGTGTGTTAATTCTCGATAGAAAATAAATAAGACATTTTTACTTACAAAGGTAAGACTTCAAAAATACACACACAAAAAAATCAAAAACAATAAGATATAAAACGACTCTTGCATCTCAATAGCTTTAATATTAGAATAAAAGCACATGGGTTGTCAAAATAGGGTTAATTCAATTCTATCTCTTATGCTTGAGGATTATCTTAATAATGTTTAATAATAATAATTATGATGGAGAAGAAACTCAATTGTGAAATGATGGGTGTAGAATTACATTTTGACAATGACAATTGATAATTCAAAAAAAGATTCAAGTTTCAAGCTACATAATACAAAGATTATTTTTAAACTTTTGGTAAAAAATTAAGTATAGGAAAAAGTGCATTTTTATTTCACTTTTTCATTACAAAAAGTTAAAACTAAAAGTATTTACAAAATTTTGAGAGATTTGAATAAAAATGTGACAAATTAAGGCACAAAATAATAAGTAATTATGAATTACGCACCAGTTCATGATTCCTCGGCTGCTTTACTCCATTCCTGAGATAAAAGCGAACGCACGTGAGGTCGCGCCCCTGAGAGCGACGGAGCGGCGGAGAGACCTTTTCGCCAGCCGGCTTGTTGGTCGACTGATCCGCGGGCGCCGTCGAATCTGCCTCGATCTCGCTCGCCGCCGCCGCTCCTCCCGTGCGCCCAGCCTCCCGTGTCGCGCTCTGCTGCGGCCCATCATCCGCGTTGAGGTGGGTTAGTGGCTGCTGTCCAAATAGAGTCACTAAAACATCAGTCACTCCAGTCTTTTAATTGGTTTTCGTTTGGTCCCTCAAATATAAACTCTTCTGACATCGTGTTTATTTAATTTAAAGTTATTTAATATTATTTTTTTAATTTTAAATAATTTTTTACTGAAGTTTATTTTGCATGAAAACAATTAATAATTTACTGCAGAATTTATGCTGCTATTTTTTTAAATTTATTTTGTAATTTTATATAAATTATTCAACTGTAAAATTTAAAAAAATATTAAATATACTGAATTATTTAGTTTTATAGCTTTTTTAATTCGTTCATATTATTACCAAGTTGTTTTATAGAATATTTAGCCACTCTAGTTTGTGTGATCTGTAAAAGTGCAATAAATAAAGTGGCAACCACCCCGCACACATTACGGCTTATACGGCGAGATCGGGAGCGTCCATCACCCTCGATTGCCATCAAAACCATCCAATTTGCGACCTATTGTTGTTTTCCCCTTTTTTCGGCACATTCGCAAGCAGGATTACCGGATAAAAATGAATGACTTTTGTTACCCGCACACATGCAATAAATTATACTGCGAAAGCCATTGTAATTTCTGTTGTTCCTTCAGCCGCTTTTACAGAAGTGATCAAATTTTTTTTTTCTTTTTTTATTAATTAATTCTGAAATAAAAATAATCAAGAGAATAGTGAAAGTTTTATACTTCTGCCCAAGCAGAGCAATCAAAATTAAGAGCAAATTTAAAAAATTAAATTTTTTATGTTAGAAATTAATTTACTCAATTTTAAGTTTGTGTCCGAAGAAATTGCGTCGTGCTTTGGCATTCTGTTTTTTATTATGTTATATAAAAATGGGAATAATTGACATTATTCTCATTTGAAACATTATTGTCGCGCAAAATTTCACAGAATTATTTCACTTCTATAAAATATGTGAGTAAATTTTTGATATTCAAAATTCATAATAAATACGAGCGAGCAAAATTAGGTCCTTTTTAATGTTCTAGGAAATTGAAAAATGGTCATCGACGTACGACGTGCACAATTATTTTATAATTTTTCCGATTAGTCGCGTACCTGCACCTGCTGTCGAATTTTGAAGCATTTTCCAAGGAAAATGCTCGGCGCGAAAATTCCAGTCGCAACACCTGATTTATTTTCACTATTTTTTTTTTTTTTTTTAGCACGAGGGAGCAAGTTTGAGCGACTCCTGGCGAACAGCGCCGGTACCTTCGAACATTGTAAACAAAACATACACACTCATGCGGCTTTTTGAACTGACAAACGTCGTCATCAACTTTATTTTTAGTTTTGACAGAAAAGTTTCCAAAATTGCACTGACCTTCGTTGGTAGATTTTGAGGAAATGCCGCCGAAGAAGCAATCGATCGCTCCTTGGGTCAAGTGCGAAAAGTGCAGCTGCACCATCAGCAGCAAGGACATGGTGCAGCACGCGGACGCGTGTCCACCCAGTTTAGAGCCTTTTGTCCACCCGTTCATCAAGGACAAAACGATCTGCAGTCTCGTCGAAGAGCAAAAAGATCAAAGCAGTGAGATAAATCAGCTGTCATCGACTCTCGAGAGCTAATTTTTAATTTTTTATTCAATTCCAGCCAACCTGAAGAACGTCCCGCTGTCTGAGCACGCCACCGTCGTCCAGCTGTCGCAGCAGGCCATGCAGTTGTGTCACCTGAGTATCGGTGACCCTGTCAGCGTGGAGGTCAACGGATTCAGTGTGGTTCGCTGCGCTTGGCCTACCACCGAGGGCAGTCTCATGTCCGTCATCTTGACTCGGCCTGGGTTAGAACTGCTCGGCTGCAAGGTCGGTGACCAGGTCATGGTGCACAACTTGAACTCGCTTCCACTTCCTGCTGGAGAGGTCATCGTCCAGCTTCAGGGCCCGGAGAGCAACATGACCGAAGAGCAGGTCATGACCCTTCTGCAGAGGCAGCAACAGGAAAGGGTCTTCTATGAGAAAAATCGTATCGGACTCCGGTACATGGGCCTCACTTTGAAGTACAAGGTCGTCAAGGTCATACCTGTTGGCCAGTCATTGGAGAAGCAACTTGAAGTAAAAAATTCTAATTAATAACTTCCAATCTAAAAAGATTATTTTTAAAGGAAATGTCACTTTCGTCAGATCCCGTCCTCGGCCCTTGCTACAGAGTTGTCCCGGACACTGTGTTCCGCCTGGACACATCAGCAGGCAAATCAAAACATTCAGCCCCAACATTGAATCAAGTTGGTGGTCTGAAAGATGTAATTGAAGAGCTACAAGAAGTTGTACAGAATGTTTTGCATCCTAAAAATACCACGCTTGGTAGATTTTATTTCATTTAAAGTTAAAATTTTACACATTTCTTTTAAGGTCTTCCTCCTGTCAGAGGTGTTCTTCTTCATGGTGCTCCAGGCACTGGAAAAACAATGCTGGCCACGGCTCTAGGAAATAGTTCAAACGCCAATTTCATATCGATACAAGCAGCAGAGATTTTTAGTAAATTCTATGGGGAGACCGAGTCGCAGCTCAAATCATATTTTTCAAACGCCATCAGAAGGTAAATTAATTTTGAAAACAAATTTATGTGAATTTAATTTAAAATTATTCAATAGAGCTCCCACCATTATCTTCATTGACGAGGTTGACGTTCTCTGCCCTAAAAGAAACAGCAGCAGCTCCCAACAGGAGCAAAGAGTTCTAGCAGCCCTGGTCTCTGAGCTAGATTCCTTATCCGATCAGAGAGTGTTGGTCGTAGCTGCCACTGGTCGCCCAGATGTCATTGACTCGTCCCTCAGACGCCCTGGACGACTGGATAGAGAAATTGAGTTGCCTGTGCCAAACCCAAGCGCAAGGAGGGAGATTTTGCAGAAATTGCTGGAGAGGAACAAGACTGAGGTCAACCAGGACCTGATCAAGGAAATTGCTGATCGAGCCCATGGTTTTGTGGGAGCTGATCTGATGGCTCTGTGCACTCATGCTGTCAGTAAGGCATCCAAGAGGGACTCGAATGTGGTGGAATTCGCAGACTTGGATTGGGCTTTGTCACAAGTTAAACCTAGTGCTATGCGGGAAGTACTCGTCGAAGTCCCTAATGTAATTTTATTATTTTAAAATTTTCAATCAAAAATAACTCATTTATAAAAAAGGTCAAATGGAGTGACATTGGTGGGCAGAAAGACCTCAAGTTGAAACTGCAGCAGGCCATTGAATGGCCTCTCAAACACCCAGATGCTTTTCTTCGTCTGGGAATCAAGCCGCCTAGGGGTGTTTTGATGTACGGCCCTCCCGGGTGCTCAAAGACCATGATTGCCAAAGCATTAGCAACTGAGAGCGGCTTGAACTTTCTTTCAATCAAAGTAAGATAATTATATTAGTTTACGTCTGCAATATTACAATTTTTTTGTCAGGGTCCAGAGTTGTTCAGTAAGTGGGTCGGTGAATCGGAAAAAGCAATTCGCACGTTGTTTCGCAGAGCACGTCAAGTGGCACCTTCGATAGTATTTTTCGACGAAGTGGATGCTTTGTGTGGAAAAAGAGGAGACTCTGGAAATGAAACTGGAAGCAACGTTCAAGAAAGAGTATTGGCTCAGCTGCTCACTGAACTTGACGGTGTGGAGGCTCTTGGAAATGTCACAGTTGTGGCAGCCACAAACAGGCCAGATAGAATAGACAAAGTAATTTCTTTAAATTTTGGTATTCCATAAATCTTAATGATTTTTTTCCAGGCTTTGTTGAGACCTGGCCGTTTGGACAGAATAATCTACGTTCCTTTGCCAGATTCGGAAACGAGAAATGAGATTTTTACTATCCACATGAGAAAAACGCCTGTCTCCGAAGATGTCTCTGTGCCTGATCTTGTTGAAAAAACTGAAGGCTATTCAGGGGCTGAAGTGAGCGCTGTGTGCCATGAAGCGGCCCTAGCAGCTCTCCAAGAAGATATTACTGCAACAAACGTCCAGCCAAGGCATTTTGAACAAGCACTTCTCTCCGTTACTCCCAGAACACCAGCCAGCCTGCTAGAAATGTATGCTCAGTACCAAAATGCGTAATTTAAAACTTGCGCAATACATTTATTTCAAATAAAATTATTTTAATTTTAAATATTGAGTTTTTACAGCAACAATAACATAGATATTAAAATAAGAGTTTTTGTAACAACTTATACTTTGAGGGAGATTAAATTTTTCATAAATAAGCATAAATTGTGGTTAGCACTTCTTCGAATCAGTTTATCAAGTGGTTATCCATCTTTGATCAATGTCCATGTGATTGCTTGACTCTTTGATTGGAAAAATCAACATTCGCCGTCACTGGTTTCTGGGAAAAATAGTTTCACTTTGTCCATGTTCCAATGAATCCCAGATGACTGACAAACTAAAGACCAAATGTAGGGAATGAAAAATTCTTCAGGACGGTCTTCTTCTACATATTTGAATTTCAAATCAGGGAATTTCTAAAAAATAAAAACATAGAAATTATTAGATCAAATAGTGCTTAAAATCGTATACCTTCAGCCTGTCTTTGTTCCACTGCATTGCACCCTGTTGAATTGTCGCAAGCACATCACTCTCACCTAAATCACTCTGAATTTGCTGCAACTTATAAGCAAAGTAGGTGATCACCTGTATAAAAAAAAATTAATCAATATTTTCGTTACAGACTTTATAAATAGCACAAAGTACCAAATCAATGTTGCAAACGACCTCTTGAAAGGCAGGGTGACTCTTGAACATTTCAAACGCCTCCTTCTTGTAGAGCAAAGTGTAAATCAGGTTGGGGTTTGTTGTCAATTGGTGGGTAAGACACGAGTTTAGGATTTCTAACACCATCCGCAGGACATCCTCAAGCACAGCCAGGTCCTGCTCCATTTCAGACTCGTTTTCGCTGGGTGCTGTTGATTTCGACCTTTTCAGCGCAGCAACATCCGTCGAAAGGCGGTTGTGTTTCTTGGCCAGGGTTTCAAAGAGGGAAACAAGCCGCTGACTCACATAGGGGTGCAGATCGCTGAACTGGCTTGACATGTTGGCCAAGGCAGCCAAGCAATTTGTATGCAAATATTTGTCCTACAAAAATTTCATAAGGTAATTTCACTTTTCATCAGGCTTTTAATTATGCTTACTCTCATTTTCAGAATGTTGTACTGAATTGTTCGAATGACGACAAGCACCAAAAGACCGCCTAGAGATATTTCAGATATGGCTCGTTCGGTATACCAAGTAACGGAGCGGAGTTTCTATAAAATTTTCATCAGTGTAAAAATTCAAAACTTTTATAAAATAAAATTACAATTTGGTGCACTGCTTTGTTGAATATTTCATCCTCACTCAAAATCAGCAAAATAATTAGAGACATGTAAATGTGATGCGAGTTGCTATGTGGGGCATGGTACAGTGTCTTCAAAATCGGAACAACCTAAATTTTCAAAATATGTATGAGCAAAGAAAATTATAAAATGTAAATTCACATACCAAAAGCTCTATATCTGCCCTGGATATGATGAAGCTGCGCATATTGGTATTGCAGTGGATCAAAAGGTACAGCAGAAGGGTGGTTTGGTCTGAGGCGGGTGCATTGCAAAGCGCCGAGTACATCCAAGGGAAGTCCAACGTGAAAGAAGCGCTGGAAGCACTGACAGCTGTGCTCGAGTCTGCGAGATGTAATTTAGTATCTGGAGTGTATTGATTAATTACACTTTGTCATTACCTGCTGAATTTGAAAATGAAAACAAGGCTTCCCTGTATGGGTTGGTCAAACTCTTCTCACAAGTGCAGTGACTAACAAGGACAAGAATCAACAACAACGACTGATCTGCAAGAGGAGAATCTGGCTCTCCGTCTTTGGCCGTTTCACTTGTAGCCAAACCAAATGTCAGCATATTCCAAATTCCAGCTAAACAAATAAAATGTTAAAGTTTGAAATGAGCTTGATTATCTCCGCTTACAAGCAAGGCCCAAAACAATGCTGCCTCCAGAATCACCTCGACCCATGAAATTTGGCGGAGCCTTTTCTCGCAAGGCAAAATGCGAAAGGAGCCTCTTCATGAGCAGACAGGAGTGAATTGAACTTTTTCCAATCATTAGATATCTAAACAAAAATGTACACTTGAATAAAGAGAATTAATATTAAAAATGATCGAACCTGTAAATCATAGATGTGCTAGCTTGCTGGCTTGTGAACAGTTGAGCAGACAGAAGAACCAGAAGACAATTGATAGCTTCAAAGTGAAGAGCATAAGTTGTGTCCCTGAAAATCGTAATTGAGTGAAGGTTTGAGGAACAAAAACTAATATTTCTGTCTTCTTTACCTGATGGGAAGGTCAACCAACAACTCAACCAAGCAGGAAAGAAACAAATCCAATTTACTGAACTGCTCATTTCCCTCCACAGCTGCAGATCTTCTATCGCCTGCAAAATTTTTTTTTTTTTAGATTTTCACTGGAATCAAATGAACGCAAGAATTATACCTCCTATTTCAAATTGATTGACAAAGTCCTCTTCGGAGATGTTCTCAACAAAGAATTTGCACAACACTTTGAGCACAAACAAAGAGTTGTGCGTTGACCAGCTAAAGGTGAAATTGTCATTTTGACTGTCGTTGGCTCTCACTCTGATGGACTTGTCAATGAAAAAGGAGACTAGGGAATGGAAGTTGCCACTGCGAGGATTGTTAGCCAGCAACTGTCGACATATCCCCTGAACGCTTTCATCCAGATTCCTTTGATCGGCACTGAAATTGATGAATTTTAGTTAGTTTTTAAAATTCAAATATAGATTTCAATATTTGTTTACGATTTTTTTGACGTCCTTTTAAAACAGTTTCTAAAAATGAAGTATTTTCAACTTTTGTAACAAATAGAGTTCAAAATGATGAAAATAATTTTATACCTTGAATGTCTGATAAAAAAAATATTCAAAGACAAAAAAATCTTAGTTGCATGCTTAAGAGAACTTAAAGAACTTACGCTGATTTTGGTGGGATGAAAGTGAACGAGAGGAACTGCTCCCAAAATGGGTCATTGGGGGCGATGATTTCTTTGCCCACAAACTTTTGAATGTACTCGTTTGCCGACAAATCTGCCAGTCGACTCTCGGACGATCCCATGTCACTGAAAAACAAAATAAAGTCAACTGACGTGTCCAAAGAACAAGATTCACAAATCAAAATCAACACGCAAATGACGTGTAGCAGGGTAAGAACAAATGAGCCAAGTTATTGTTGTGTTTGTTTGCAAGTCAAAACGTCATTGCTCACGAATCCAAATAATTTCGGCACCTTTGACTTGATCAGCCTCGGAAGACGAAAGTGACGAGGTCAAGGTTGAATGAACGAGCTAGGGCACATTTTAAGTTTGCACAAGGCGACATACACGCTCAAATTTCCTTCGATTAGAAAATTTTCGCCGACTTTTCCACGCTCAGCTGCTGGGGTTTGGCAGTGTTTACGTAGCACTCGCTGTTCAGCCAATCAGAGGTGAGGAAATCGAGAACGAGCGTTTCATTGGCCAATCCATTCAACAGTAGAAGTCTGAGGAGTCAGAGCGCATGCGCGTTATTTATTATTAATCATTTATCTCCTTGCATTTATCTACATATACAAAAATTTCCTGTTATTCTCTGATTTGATTATTTTGATTTCAAGTTTTCAATGAGACAAAAACTGCAGCACAGCAGGATTCACATGAGGCCTGTAGCCCTTGTAGGACCACTTAGCACCAGTAGGTTGAAGTACATAATAGTTTTATATGCATCATGTATTAAATTTGAAAAAAAAAATGTATATTACGTATTTTTCATTTTCCGTTTTTGCATTAATACAATTTATTTTACATTCATTTTATATCTTTATCTTCGTTTTATGCAATAATATTGAATATTCCCAAATATTCGCCCTAAAATTATTATTTAGAATATAGAATATTAACACATATACATAAATAAAAAATGTTAAAATGCAAAATTTTATTAAATTATGAACATTTTTTTTTAAGGAATGTAGAAAAAAATTATTCAATTTTATTAATATGCGTTTTAATTAGAAATCAATTAGAATGCGGAAAGTCTGCGTTGATTTTGTCTTCTGCATTTAAATTGGATTAGACTGTTGAGTATAATAACGTGCGATGATGTCACAGGTTTGGATTGAAGCCAAGAAAAGAATTTATAAGGGAGCTGCGGTGTGAGGAGATCCAATGAGACAACGGCGGAGTCGGCGGAGAGGAAAAGAGAGAAAGCACCGTGCGCCGGCCGGCTTTATTTGCAGATTCTCCGACGCCAGTCGAGCAGGCACCGCAGCACTTTTGTGCCACACTGCAAAATTCGCCTCTCTTCATTGCACTTTTTAGTGAGTATTTTTTGTTTACTGCTCTTATTTTCTGCAATGTTAGTTAAACAAAAACATCAAAAATTATGGAAATAATTTGCAATTTGTTTAAGCTGAAATCTGAAATTAATTTTAGTGCATTATTCGTCCTGAGATTTATTATTTTTGATTTTATAAACAAAAAAATAATGCGCCGTGTTGCTCATATCCTTTGGGTTGTGAGTCTATCATAAAATTAGGAAAATTAACAGAATCAAGCTAGCAGAGCCCTAGGCAAAAGCAAATCAATAATATTATTGAAGAAACCGCCCTCTTTTATGTCGTCAGCAGTTTGCTCTGCTCCTATATATTCTCAATGAAAAATCGAAAAATCTTAAATTCCATTTTCTGATCTCATTAATTTCTCATTGATGAATCGCAGCACTCAGGATCAAGGGCTTAATAACTGCTGAGGGCTCAAATCAAACACAATGCACTAAATTACAACAAATTAAAATTATTTATTAATCAGCAGCTAGTTTAAAATGAATCATTCAATAATATCTTTCTCTCATTCCCGCCCGTGCTGTTGAAAACATAATTATAAAATAATGAATATTTACTCTTATGTTCCATCCAATAATGGATAATAAAAGGTTTTTGAATTGTGAATTGTGATTCAACTCTGCTGTTATAATATGCAACAAGCGCATCCTTATCATGTGCACATATATATGCTAAGTCTTAAAAAAAATAGTCTTCAAGCGCAGCGGTTTCAAGGTCCCTGGAACTTTCACTATTTGTGCGCGTGAACTTCGAGCGTGCGTATAAATAAATGCAGATATAATGACAAGGAATGCAATGTAGCGTTTCTCTTCCCATATTTTAATTGTGTTGGCCCAGCGTGTTCTCCAGTAAAGGCCATGTGGCTGCATTTCGTCCATTCACAGTGGGGGCCCCTCAAAGGTTGACGACCCATGTATCGGCGCGGTGCCTTAATACAAGTCGAGAATTTTATTTAGAATTTTATGCTGCTCTCAGCACTCAGCCTATATTCACTGCTGCAGTCGACGCACGGGCGGTCAGGCGCAGTTTTTTCAAACATTCTGTGCTTGAAAAACTTTTTCTGCGAACATATCAGATAATTATAATGTATGTATTTTCATTTCATAATATTTATAATAAGTTCTACGACGGTCTTTGATTGAAAGAAAAAAAGCGCTCGCAGACAGTGTTATTTGTTTACAATGAGTATTTTAGCAGAGACAGATTTATTGTTTATGTTACTGTACAGTTTAAGTTATTTTTCAACACCTTTACATAAAAAAATATTTTAATTACTGTGTATTTCAGATTGAATCTTTAAGTCTCAGCCGGAAATAACCAAGTATGGATTACATTGTAAGTTTCTTCAAATTTTTTCTTATAAATTAAATTTATAAATATATTAAATTCAAATTTAGTTATTATAGATAACAAAATATTTTTATTAGTATTGTGTACTTAATTTAATTTTTAATTACAGCCTGAGCCAACTGTCCGTCCTTTCCCTGACTTCAATGCTGTCGAAGACGCCACCCTTCTGCGAAAAGCTATGAAGGGTTTCGGCACCGACGAGCAGGCAATCATTGACATCTTGTGCAACAGATCCAACAGCCAGAGGCAGCAAATCAAGGATGCGTTCACAAGGGAATATGGCAGAGTAAGCAATATTCATTAAAATGTCCTTTAAATCTTAATTTAAAAAAATAAATTAGGACATAATTGCTGACCTCAAGAGTGAGCTCGGTGGGAAATTTGAAGACGTGATCATTGGGCTCATGGATAACCCAGTGGAATACATGTGCAACCAGTTGCACAAAGCCATGAAGGGCTTGGGAACTGACGAGGAGACCATCGTCGAGATTATTTGCAGTCGAAACAACAGAGAAATCAAGGAGATTGTTGACAATTACGAACGATGTATATAGATTATTTTGAATAATTGTTAACATAATTTTACAACTTTTATTTTTTGCAGTGTACAACCGGCCATTGGCGGAACATTTGTGTAGTGAAACTGAAAGCTCATTCCGTCGTCTCCTCACTTTGCTTGTCACGGTAATTTTCCTCACTAATTTTGTTGACAGCGGTGCAATTAAAAATGTTTATCTTTGTGGTTTTCAGGGTGTCCGTGAGGAATTCAACATTGACCCAGATAAGGCCAGAGAGGATGCTCAGAGCCTTTTTGACGCCGGTGAGTCATTCGGAAATAAATTTTTAAGTAAAAAATTGAGGCCAATTTTTAATATATGTCAACAGGGGAAGGCCAATGGGGAACAAATGAAGAGATTTTCAACAAAGTGTTCAGCCACAGCAGCTATGGTCAGCTGAGATTGATTTTCCAAGAATACAAAAGCGTCTCGGGCGGAAAGTGCATCGAAGAGTCCCTTAAGAGCGAGTTGTCTGGAGAGCTGTTGGACGGTCTGATGGCCATTGGTAATTACTTTAAATTTCCACAACAATTATATTTATTTATAATTATGTTCTCTTAGTTGAATGTGTTCAGGACAAGGTTTTGTTCTACGCCAATCGCCTCCACAAGGCGATGGATGGCTTTGGCACCAACGACACCACCCTGATCAGAATCATCATCAGCCGTTCTGAAATTGACTTGGCCAACATCAAGAGGGCCTACGAAAAGATCTACAACAAAACTCTAATCAGCGCTGTAAAAGTGAGTTGATGAAATATTTATTCGATTTATTTTGACACGCTCTAAATGGCGCTTGATCCCAGCAGAGTGAGACATCTGGAGACTACAAAAAGGCTTTGTTGGCCCTCATTGGTGATGCTTAAAGAAAAATTGAAAAACAGCCAGCCTAAAAACCAAATATTATTCTGGCAGCTAAACAGCTAAAATCTCATTTTGAATATAAATTAATTGTTGGTGTCAATTGTAAAATTATAAAAAAGCTAGTAATTTCAATTAATATTATATATTACTGAAAAATAATTTATAGAAAAAAATAATTGAATAGTTATTCAGAAATTGTGGATTCAATTAATAGTACAGTATATTATAGACAGTCAGTTTTTGACACAGCTAATAAAATATGGAATAATTAAAATATAATTTAACGTTTTATTATTTATAATAATGTTTTATGTTATATTGTTGCTGTGGTTTTTGCATACTTAGCAACGTACTTGTTAGCAGGTCGTCACGTCACGCGGCATGTTAATCATGAAAGTGGAATAACCATTTTTGGTTTTGAGGTTAGATTGAGTTGGTTTTATCACAGGATGTCGAATCACTTTTAACGCTTGTTTAATTGGCCCTCGTCTGTGCTGTCACATCAGATGGGGCAAACAGGCTGTGGTCGCGGTTGGTATGGTGTCCGCAGCTTAAAAGCGCGCAGCGCAGGAAGGGTGTGATCAGTTGGAAGTTGTAGATTCAGATCACCATGTCTCAGCAAATTCAACAGGAGTCCTCTCAAATTGTGCAATGTCCACAAGAGTTGCAGCAATGCGAGCAGCGAAGTGGACAAATAACCCAGCAGACGGCCCAGATCGTCGAACAGCAAACTGGACAATGCGAACAAACTGGCCAGTGCGTACAGCAAACTGAACGGTATGAACAGCAGACTGACCAGTGCGACCAAACTGGCCAGTGCGTCCAGCAAACTGAACGGTATGAACAACAGACTGACCAGTGCGAAAAGACTGGCCAGTGTGAGCAGCAAACCAGCCAGAGTGAATGGACTAATAAGAATAAGTCCGGAGCAATGAAGCAGGTAAAAAATTATTTTTTTACCATATTTGATTCGCATTTTTTTTTCATATATATTAAATTAACATATAGTTTCACATTTTTAATTATAAATAATATTACTCTGAATGGAATTAGCCTTGTGGTGCTGCTGATGACGCCGCCGCTCTGAGGAAAGCAATGAAAGGCGCTGGCACAAACGAGAAAGTGATTATCGAAATAATCACTCAGCGCACTTGCGTTCAGCGACAGGAAATTATGAAGTGTTACAACAAGGAATTTGGCAGGGTACTATTTATTTTGTAGCTTAAATACTTTCTTATGAAAATATTTGGCCGATTTATTTAGGATTTGATTGCCGACCTGAAAGAAGAGCTGGGTGGACACTTTGAAGATGTCATTGTGGCACTCATGACTTGCCAGCATGAGTTTCTGGCAAAGGATCTGCACAAGGGAATTAAGGGCAAGATGTGGGGCACTGTCGTGGAAATCCTGTGCCCAAGGAACTCCCATGAGATCAAGAAAATTTCAGACATTTACTGGACTAGTAAGTTTTAATGCAATCATTTTTTGTCTTTTTTGTAATATATATATTTATAATTATTTTTAGTGTTTGATGTTTCTGTAATTGATCACTTATCTGCTGAAAGCCAAAACGAGCTGCAAGATCTCCTCATTTTAATGTCACGCGTAATATATTTTTTTAAATTATAATAATTTGTTATAGAAAAAGTTTCTAAAAAAATCACAGGGTCTCCGAGGAACCTCTATTGATCCTGACAAGGCTAGGCAAAATGCTGTGCACCTTTATGATTCCCCAAGCTCCAGAATGCGTAAGAGAGAAAAAACTGAATTAAAAAAAAAAAAATAATAATTTAACAAAACATCACTTTTAATATTCTAGAGGAGTCAACTGCAAAGGGTGTAAAGAAAGCTGCCCCTCTGAAAGAAGCCAAGAAGGAGCTGAATATTGTGCTGTTGATTGAGATTTTGACTCACGACAGCTACAGCCAGTGCCAATTGACCTTCAAGGAGTTTAAAAACATCCACGGCATGTACATCGACGATATTGTCCATAGTGAGACGGCCGGTGACTTGCAAAAGGCCCTCCTTACTTCTAGTAAGCTTATATTGATTTTTCATTTGAGCCCTTTTAACATATTTTTTTAATCTTGCAGTCGATTGCTGCAGGAACATTCCAAACTTCTTTGCTAATCGACTGCATAAGGCGTTCGACAGAGCTGGCACTGATGACGTTACTCTGATCAGAATCATCGTCAGTCGTTTTGAGGTTGACTTGGATGAAATCGCTAAAGCCTATGAGAGGAGCTATGACAAAGCCCTTACCAAAGCCATCGAGGTAAATCATCAAAAAATAAAATCTTTGATAATTTGTTATTTCGCTTTAATTTTTTTGTAGAGTGAAACCTCTGGTGACTACAAGAGGGCCCTCCTGGCTCTGGTTGCAGGATTTTCTCTCAGAAAATTGAAACGCTAAATTTTTTAATTCTAAGATAGTTGATGAAGAAATAACTTGCCTTAATCTTCTTGCAATTCATTGAAATGTTATAGCAATAAAGAATCTTTGCAATAAAAATTTATAAATTCCTTTTATAGGTTTTATATGTACGTATTGATGCTTTTAATAAAAAATTCATAATTAATACTTAAAACATTTCATTTAAATATTTCCACGTTCTCTTATAATTTTGAAATTAATCGAAATTAATAATGTAACTAGCCCAATTTTAAAATAAATGACTGTCGCCATCTGGTTTCGCGCCACAATTGTTTAATTGAGGAGCTAAAAAGACACGCCCTCTTCCTCTTTCGTTATCAGAAAAATTTTGTAAACACTCGCTGAACTTCTGTCTGTCGCAGCCTCAGCGTTTAGATCTGAAGGGTAAATAAATTTGGCCTTTCGTGAAGGTCATCTTGTAGCTCCATATGATTATTATTGGTGGTTTCATTTGGATGTCTTGCTTTGTCACCGCTAATTTGCGTTCATTACTATTAACATGCGCCGAATCGAACGTCCATCATAGGGAACAACGGGGAGCAATTTAGGCAATTTAGCGCAGTAGAAGTATGTAAATAGTCTATTTATCAATTATCCGTTTACGACTAGGTCACTAATTTTGATTTCATAATTTTAGCTGAGCAGTTTTTTTAAGGATAATGCAACCCATCAGCCGACTGGATCAAGTTTACCGAAGTCTAGTGCTGTCTAAGTTTTTCGTCAAAGGCTGGGGGAAGCCAGAAAATATAAAAAGGTTTTAACTTTTGAACTTCCGAAAATTTATTCTAATTTAATTTTTTTGGGCAGGCTGTTTGAGTTTCGAAAAGTGGTGTGCAACAGAGAAAGCTGCTACAAGCTCGTCCCACCAGATTATCCTGTAAAAATTACGAAAGTAAGCAAATCCGATCAATATTATGTACTTTTTAATCAATACTTTGATCTAATATTATTTTGCAGGAAGAGGTAGCTTCTGACCACACTTTGCTGGAAGGAAATTTTGTGTCTCCTTTTGTTCACCACCTCCCAGGCATTTTGCCTCAAGAAGCCGAGTTAGCTCATTTTCAAGTCGTGTTGCCGAAAGAATGGAAAGACCCAAACTACAAACCAATGTGTATCCATATGGCTGGAACTGGTGATCATGTAATTCAATATTTCATGAATTTTCCTTGTTATATTAAATCGTGCTTTTTATTTTCAGTTTTTTTGGCGACGAAGAGCAGTTATGGCGAAACCACTTTTGAAAGAAGCAGGAATAGGGGGTATAATTTTAGAAAACCCATTCTACGGAAGCCGAAGACCAAAAGAGCAACTGTATATTGGAATCGTCAGAAAGTAACAATATTTTAATGATGACTCTTCTAGGCGATCCAGTTTGTTAAATGTGTCTGATATTTTTGTGATGGGAGGCTGTCTGATGCTTGAAGCCCTTGTTTTGCTTCACTGGTGTGAACGAAATGGTCTCGGCCCCCTTGGTTTGACCGGAATGTCTATGGGTGGACATGTAAGAGATCTACTTTTGTTGAATTCAATTATTAGTATTTAAAAAAATAATCAGATGGCTTCGATTTCTGCAACCAATTGGCCTAAGCCAGTCGTCCTTGTCCCTTGCCTGTCGTGGTCAACGGCTTCGACAGTTTTCACTAAGGTAAGTGAGAAATTTTTTTATTATCATAAAATAAAATTTTAATCATTCAGGGTGTGATGAGTGCAGCAATTGATTGGAGCATGCTGGAAGCTCAGTACATGGGCAACGAGCAATATAGACAAGACATAAGAAAAATGTTGTCTATGGAAAAAGACGTAAGTACCAATCAAATTAATATGTCCAACAATTTAGTAACTGTTAGTAGAAGTTGAAATTTGCTAAATTTTTATTCAAATTATTGAATTTTAGTCTCTCACGAAGCCGATTTTCTCTACAAAAGTGATATCCTTCATTCCCAAACAGGACGCATTTAGAGCTGGCCAACATTTTGCTCAGAGCTATCCAGCGACATTCTCTCGAATCAACAATCTTGACGTCAGCACGTCGCAGGACGACTCTGACAGTGATGCTGAGCAACAAGCTCAAGCCGTCGCAGCCTCCACTGGAGGCAAGTCGCAATTGTCGATGCCAAGTGTCTTGGCCGGGTTTCACCTTTCGAAAAAGAACCTGGTCAAAGGAAAGGACGAGGGAAAGAAAAAGACACAGGACGAGGTGTACCAGTTCATGAGGGGCATAATGGACGAATGCACCCACCTAAAGAATTTTTCAGTGCCAGTCGACACTGAGCTGATCATTGCAATTGCCGCTCTTGAAGACGCTTATGTTCCACGAGATAACTGCACACATCTGCAAGACATCTGGCCAGGTGCATCTATTCGCTTCCTTAAGGGTGGGCATGTTAGCTCATTTGTCCTTTATCTGGACACGTTCAGGTTAGCAGGATGAGAGTTGAGTAAATTTTTATGAATTGATTTTGTTTATTTCCTTACAGAAAAGCTGTGATTGAAGGATTTGAATTGTACAAACAACGCTATCCGAAACCAGTAAAATGAAATTAAAAGGGAAGACGAGAGTTAAGTCTTAAGAGAAATGAACCAGAGTCACAAAAATTGACTGATTTTTAACAAAAACCAGACACAAAACAGCAGAAATATATATTTGTATGTAACAGAATTCCTGCAACAACCCGACACGGTGTTTGTGAGCCGAAAATAACAATCCTATACATATAGCTAGTCAATCAACTTATATGAAGAAGCTTTCATATCAAAATTTGTAGTACCTATTTTACCTTAAATCTACTGCTTAAATTAATTTGGTTTTGAATGCATAATGTTAACCCTTTTTTGACAGAAAGTTGTTGGTTCTAAAAAAATTGCAAACTATTTGTGTAAATTTTGAATAGTTGAACTTTTGGCGTTTATTACATTCTGTGATTTTATTATTGAAGTTAATAAGCCATATTGGATACAACCATTGACTTAAATGTTGGAGAATTAAAACTGTTTGTTTAGAACTAAATGCAACTTCTTTGTCTCTATTTAATGACACAACACATATTTTTTTATTTACATGCAGTTGGGCACACTGGATGTGTCTTAATGCTTTTATTTCCAGAACATATATTATATAATTTTAAATATAATAACGGTATTTATTATTATTGTTATGTATTATAAATCTTTAGAAATATGGCATGTAATATACGGTAATATATTTATAAAAAAATGGCACAGTGGAGAGTACAGTGGGATATAAAATTTATATCAGCTTTTATATTTCTATCTGTATATCTCAGCTTTAGTTAAAATATTTATATTCCAATTCAACAATGTGATTATCATTGATGCAAGTAAAATGCACTATATAGTGCATTCTATAAAAAAAAACCCGCAGTCCCCAGTCAATCAAACCCACTCTGCTTTTTGGTATCGCGCCAGTTTTTTTTTAAGGTAATGCCACACCCCTTTTTTGTTTATATTTGCATACAGAAAAGTGCAGACAGGCGGATTGAGGCACTTTTTGGCAGGTAAGCCGTTTGACCACTTTGAATTTTGCTAATTTCGTGCTTGCTCAATTAAAAAGTAATCTTGTTACATACAACATTTATATTTCATGTTTATTTTTAACTCATCAACATTACAGGGCAGGTTTAGCAAAAATCTGACCACACTGCAGCGAATTGGTCAGAAAAGATTGAATCAACCTAAAGAAATTACATACTATTGAAAATAAGAAAGATTTTTGAAATAAATATGGAAGAGGAGCATCCGGACAGTATCCTTCCGGATGACGAGGCAGAGGCTGAGATGGCCATGCTTGTTGACTCGGCATACCCTGATGGCGACGAGCCACCAAGAATTCCTCCTGCTGGAACTTCATTCATTGTCGTAGAAAATGCTGATTTGATTTCGGATGATCAAAGAGAAGAGGCTGCTGCAAAAAAGATGAATGAGTTGACCCAAATGTACCTTACAGGAAGACTGCCTTTTTCCGAATATTTAAAAACCTTAGAATCTCAAGAAGGAGGCAACGTCGGCGGTGAAAGTGGAGGTGACGGCGAGTCAAGCCTCGAAGATGATGAGGTTTGATTATTTTGCAATTTATTGTGTTAAATATTTTCGCTTACATACGTTTTTTTTATTTTAGGATGAAGATTACATGCCTTCTACGAGTAAATCAAAGACAAAAAAGAAAAAGGCTGCAATAAAGAGGGAAGCGTTCTGTAGAGAGTTTGATGCCACCAGAAGGAAAATCAGAACAACTAGGAGAGACCTGCCGCCCATTCTGAGCAACCTCTTAGGTCAGGCCAACCTTAAATACGCTCAGGGTGACAAGGAGGTGGCTGGCCAAATTTGCGAAGAAATTATTAGGCAGGTTCCTCAAGCTCCAGGACCGTATAAGTTGTTGGCTTTAATTCAAAAAGATAAAGGTAAAAATTCCAAACATTCCGACACATTTAATTTCTCACTTAAAATGTTTGACAGGTCAATATGAAAGTGGCCACTACTACTCTCTGATAGCCGCTCACCTATCACCTGGCTGCGGAGCTGACGAATGGATGCAGTTGGCTGAAACGTCACTCGACTTTGACAAGAAAGACCAAGCACTAACTTGCCTGGCCAGTGCCATCAAAAGTGACAAGTTCAATCCCGATCCCAGATTGAGGCAGATAAAACTTTTGAACAAAATGGGCCAGAGTAAAGCTGTGCTCAGGGCCAGGGAGAGCATGGTCAGGGTAATTGGCAGCAACCCTAAGTGCGCCCAACACCACGGACGACTGATTCTGCTGCAAGCCAAAGTGTGTATTACCTTTCATTGAATTTTAAAAAATAAAAAAATTAATTTTTGTAACACAGATAGCAGCTCGTGAGTACCACCAAGAAAATAACCTGGCAAAGGCAACTTCAGTTATGGAAGCGGCCATCAACGCATGCAAAAGCAGTGCCAGTGAGGACGACATTCACCTTTTGGTGGAGTTGCATTGTGAGCAGAATGAAAATCTGAAAGGCCTCGACCTGTTGAGGAAAGCATGTGGTTTGGAGCTGCAACCTCAAGAGCCACCTTACCAGATGTGCCGCTGCCCATCTTCAATGGAACCAGACCTGAGAGCCAAACTAGTTGTATTTTTAGTTAGACTGGACGTTGACAAGACACTTTTGGAGCCCATCTTACTCATGTTCATTGACGACCCTGGAGAAGATCACGGGGAAAGGTAATTTTTAATATTTAATTAATAAATATTTTACAATTTTCTATTTGGAAAAAAAACAGATTTTTGGACATGGTTGAAGCTCTGATGGCAAAGGGACGGTACCGGGAAGCCATGCTTCTGATGAACCCTCTGGTCGAGTCAGAAGCCTACAACACAGCTGCTGCTGTTTGGCTGACCCATGGTGAGTGTTTGAGACACTTGGGTGATCTTGACGGAGCCCAAAGGTCGTACACCAACGTCATCACACTTGCGCCCCAACATATCCAGGCCAGATTGACGCTGAGTTCCATTTACTGCCAATTGGAAAAGCACGAACGAGCTCTTCAGGTACTGCATTCCGGCGAGCCTGAGGCACGGCTGTTGTACGAAGAATTTCTACTGCTGCTGCAACACAATTCTGAGAAGTCTGTCAAAGTTGCCATCAACCTGATGGAGCAATACATCAAACCTGGCAGTGTACGAGAGATGTACGAATTGGTTCTGCTGAAAAAGAGACGAAGTGGTTTTGATCGTGAGGTGGGACTAAATAATTCAAATCTTTTATAATTTTAAATTAAAGTCTTTTAGATATTTTCCTTTTAAATTGGGACCCATTTAATGAATTAAATATTTTGACGCTAAGATTATAGCAATTTGAAAAAAAAAATGTAAAAATTCTTTTTTATGAATTTTTTTTGCCATTGTTTAAATATTTCCTCACATTTATTAATAATTAACGCGATTAATGCTTTCATTGATTTTTTAGGTTGAAAATGGTCCAACTAAAGATGAATTGTTTGCTGTCATCCTGAAAGCTTGTGACCTCTGCATTCAGCTGAAACGCTTCAAAGAATTCAAACGGCTGGTTTTTATTGCATCACACATAAAACCTCTAATAAACCAAAGGAAGCTGCTTAGCTTCTTGGTTGCCGTCTCTTGCATTCATCACAAAGACCCTCAGCTGGCTTGGAGTTTCTGCAGAGACGTCCTGTTCCAAAATCCTCGATCTAACTACGCCTGGCACCTTTTTAATCTCTCCTGCAAACAACTGGACGAGCCTAGGCACACCAAATTTGTCTCGAGGATTTTCGCAAAGGCAAACGCGTGTTTATAAATTGAAACTCTTGATTTATTTTCCTTGCTATTTTAGGATCCGTCAAACTGGGCCTGCGGAATGGCGTATACCAACAACACATTTCTTGCTGCGTCGTATAAAGATGCCCTGGTTGAGTTGGCAACCAGACACAAAATCAGCCCTGAGGCCTACACTGCTCTGATGCTGGGCATCACCTGGACGCACATCAGCTGCCAGAAATTTGTCCAGGACAAAAGCACTATGGTCTCGCAGGCCCGAGCGTACTTCGAGGAGTATGACCGGTTGCGTCAAGCTGGTCATAAACAAGAAGTTTATTACAATTTAGCCCGTTGCATGCAACAGCTATCAGTTTTCCATCTGGCAATTCATTACTACAAACTGGCTTTGGCGACCAAGCCCTTAAGCCCTGAACTGGACCTTTGCCGTGAAAGTGCGTACAATTTAGCCTTAATATATCTCACAAGTGGAAATTCTCTTATGGCCAGAAATTTGTATTCTAAATATATTGTGTTTGAATAAATTGAAAATGTATAACATATGTAATAAAAATTAAATCCAATACAACATAAATATTTCACTGATTAAATTAATATTTAAAAGATTCAAAAACTTGTAAAATTCCATTTTTTTCCATAGCAAAAATGTAAGACATTTTTTTTTTTAATTTTCTTGATTAATCGGCATTATTGTTGATATTTATTCAATTTCATATCTTTTAATATTTTGTTTCTATTATTTTTCATTCAATTAAAAAAGAAAAAATTTGTACCTTTTTAACTAGAAAAAAATCTCGCATTTATTAAAAAAGAATAATAATAATTCCACAGCAAGTTTATACATTTTATCTAATTTTGGGTTTGGGCGCGGGCTCAAGCGCAACAGGCAAGACATGTTGCTGGAAAGCGCCACAGCAGCGGTGCTGCCTCTTCTCCAGACGACCAAAATAAACATTAGCCGTTTCTTGTTGCGGAAATACATGCATATTGTGGCATTTTCGATTATTTGACCCAAGTTTCCTTCAAGATATTTTTCCGTATCGTCGATATTAGCGACATTCCTGATAACCAATACGCCCTGCAGGGTTTTCATCTATTTCTGAGGCAAGTGTCACCATTTGAAGAGCAAAAACATCCACTCGCAAAACCGTAAACAGCATCTAGGTTTTCAGTCACAGTCATTGACATTGCTGACCTGAAATGCAAATCCATGTCTGTTGTTGATTCTTGGCTCGCATTCACGGGGAAAATTATGCACATTTAAGTGCCCCGAGCTTCCTTAGCGTTGACCCTGAATTTTTCGTGCGTTCTCGGTTGAAATTTGGGAGGAAGAAGGGGTTGCTTATCGCAATATACAAGTGGCTCATGTTTATTTGCTCTCTTTTTGCTTTTCAGAACGGAGCTTGCTGTTCAATCACTCAGAGATTGTTGAAGATGAAGCAGAGAGCCGCTTAACGTGTTGGCAACAGGAATAATTCACCAGGGGAAAATGGCTTTCCCGAAAGCCATCATTTCCTCCGGGAATGCAGCATGCATCATCCCCGAGGAGGAACAAATCATTGGCCTGCTGGAGCGAGGAACGGTGGTGAACAAATTCTACCACAGGAAACGCATGGAGAAGAAAACCCTGATGCTCCGCAGAGAAACGAGACAAGTCATCTGGAGCAGGAGCAACACAAATCCAAAAGCGTTTGAGGGATATGGTAAATTTTAGAGTTGGAAATTTTTCATATATTCTGATCCTGAATTTATTTTACAGTAAATTTGTACGAGGTGAAAGAGATCCGGCCTGGCAAGTGCTCGAAAGACTTTGAAAAGTGGCCGGAGGACTCAAAACGACTGGACAGCACCAAATGCTTTGTCGTTGTTTACGGCAACGAGTTCAAACTGAAGTTTTTGTCAATAGCTGGTATGAGACGATAATTTTTGTTTTAAATCAATTTAAAATTTATTTAAAAAAATTTTAAGCCTGGTCCGAGAGAGAGTGCGAAAACTGGATTCGAGGGCTGAAATACATGGTGGCTGACACGGTAAACGCGCCCTATCCTCTTTTGGTAGAGAGATGGCTGCGGAGAGAGTTTTACACCATGGAAAATGCAAGAGAAAAGTATAAAATCAGCTTGAAATGTTTTCTTGTTTCTAAACCCGGCTTCTATTGCTTATTTAGAGTGACGCTGAAAGAAGTCAGAAGCTTTTTGCCTAAAGTGAACTGCAAGATTGCCACCAAGAGATTAGGAGATGTATTTCAAGAAGTTGACACGAGACATCGGCAAGAGTTAGGATTTGATGACTTCACCACTCTGTACTACAAGCTCATGTTTGGCGATGAATCCGTAAGTTTTTTAAGCACAGACGACAACAAGAGTAGATTTAAATATTTGTCGACAGGCTTCGTTTCGGTCCGACGTTTTCAAAAAGTATAGCGCCGATCAGGTGATGTCTCTGCAAGATTTCCAGAGCTTTATGGATAAGGAGCAGAAAGATGCCATGGGAAACGATGAGCGTCTAGTCTCAAAATTCATGCGTGACTATCTGCAAGATCCGACAAGAGATGTCCAGGAGCCATACTTTACCGAAAATGAGGTGAAACGAGTTTTTTTTTTCATATAAATATTAACAATAATAAAATCAAAATTCCATATTTAGTTCATGGACTTTCTGTATTCGAAACAAAATGATCTTTGGGACACTGCTTTTTCCCCTGTCTATCAAGACATGTCGAGGCCATTGTCTCATTATTGGATTTCCTCATCTCATAATACGTAAGTCTAATTTTGAAGTAAAATGGTATGCCTCAAATGTTTTATAATATGTATTTATTCGACTAGGTACCTGACGGGTGATCAATTTTCGAGCGAATCGTCTCTGGAGACTTATGCTCGGTGTCTGAGAATGGGGTGCCGTTGCATCGAACTTGACTGTTGGGACGGACCAGACGACATGCCCTTCATCTACCACGGCCATACTCTGACCTCAAAGATCAAATTTCTTGATGTCATCAAGACGATCAGGGAACATGCATTTGTGACCTCAGAGTAAGTAAATACAAATTTGCTAAAACCTATTTCTAAGATTTCGTCTTCAGATATCCTGTGATTTTGTCCATTGAAGACAACTGCTCCCTGCCTCAACAAAGGAACATGGCCAGAGCATTCCAAGAAGTGTTTGGAGACATGCTTCTTACCCAGCCTGTTGACAAAAATGAGACCTTCCTGCCATCTCCGTTCAAAATGAGAAGAAAGATCATTTTAAAGCACAAAAAGCTTAAAGAAGGCGAATTTTGTGTTCGAGATGATGAAGGTAATTTAGTGCTATTCACCAATGCAATAATTTTTACATATTCTCCAACAAAATTTCAGTTAGAGATATGGATCTGAGGAATACTGTAAAAAACGGTATCCTGTACCTTCAAGACAATGCTGACCGTCAGTGGTACCCACACTTCTTTGTGCTGACCCAGAACTCGTTGATCTATACAGACAGCTGCAATCAAGATCAGCAACAAGATGCAGAAGAGGAAGAGGAGCCAGAATTTGAAAATCCCAATCTTGGCGCGCGAGATGTAATTTTTATTTTTTATAAATGTCATAACACCATTTTTAAAATATCTGTAAATAGGGTAACAACGATGAACTTCACTTCAGTGAAAAGTGGTTCCATGGCAGACTAGCAGATGGACGAAAAGAAGCCGAAGATTTACTTAAAACATACTCGCACTTAGGAGATGGGACTTTCCTGGTCAGAAACAGTCACATCTTTGTAGGAGATTACTCATTGTCATTTTGGTATGATTATTCTGTTTTAGTTTTTTACTTCATCAAATTTTATTGAAATTATTGTAGGAGGCAAGGAAAAGTCTATCACTGCCATATCAAGACAAAACAGGAGAGAGGTCAAACTAGATATTATCTCCATGACACTGTAGGTTTTGACAGCCTCTACAGTCTAATCACTTACTACAAGAATAATGCATTGCGAAGCCAGGTAAGATTTTTTTATTTCTTTTCATTCATAATTACTTGCATTTTCAAAATGAAACGTCTATCTCATTGCGCTTGCTCTTGTTTTCTAGTAAGGTTTAGAAAATGCTTTTTCACAACTAACATTTTCATTTGGAGTGGCTCATTAACTGCATGTTGCATGCTGGGGTTGTTTGCGTAAAGGTTGGTAGGGGGAACATCTTTTTCGCGTGGTTACCCTGGCCTGGTCAACAGGAGTTCCTGATCACGCTTCGCGAGCCTGTTCCTCAGCCTAGCAAGCACGAAGGAATGCCTTGGTTTGCCCGCCGATGTAACAAACTGCGAGCCGAGAATCTTCTGCGGAGGGTGCCCAATGACGGCGCCTTTTTGGTCAGACCTAGCGACCAGGAGGCAAATTCATTCACCATTTCATTCCGGTATTAATTAAACTAATTCAACCTTTATCATTGCTAAATTTGTATATTATATTTCTAGGGCTGAAAAGAAAATCAAGCACTGCAGGATCAAAGTGGACGGTCGTCTTTACACCATCGGTTCAGCCCAGTTCGAAAGCCTGGTCGAACTGGTTTCCTTCTACGAACGTACACCCCTGTATCGCAAAGTAAAGCTTCTGCAACCAGTCAACGAATCTCTTGTCATGTCCATGGGAAATGTCGCTCTGGTGAGTACAAAAGCAGTTTTTTTTTATAATAAATTTTTATTCTCCAATACAACGTCCATCACCATTTTCATAAATAAGGGTGTGTGAAAAAATATTGAGATTTGATGTCGAAGCAGTCTTACAAAAACGAAATTGATGATTGTGTGAAAAATTATTATGGAAATTCAGTCTCTTTTTTTCAAGTATTCAAATTTCAGTCATTTGCAAAAGTGGTAGAAATTGCTCTCATTCTTTGGTAATCACCGTGGGGGAAACCTCTTTTTCCTCTTCAGTGACGGTTACAACCTCTTCTGCAGTGGTGGTGGTCTTGACGGGAACTGTCGGCTCCTGCCTCACTGGTTGCTTCTGAACCACTTTTGGTGGTGCGATGGGCACAAATGGAGTCGACGGCTCCACTGGGGTAGGCTGCATGTGGCCAGGGATGGGCACTAGGTAGGTGCGCACCAACATGAAAGGTGTTCCGCCCATGGCAGCAGCGTCATACGGATTCCAGAAGGTTTGTTGCTGCTGCTGTTGGGGCAGAGGAGGGTAGGCCACTGAGGGCGCAGGGGTGTAACGCATGAAAGGATTTTGTGGTTGTCTGGCAAAGAGGAAGGGGTTGTTTGCCATATTGGCGATGACGGCGGACGGGGTGATCATCAAAGGGGTTGTTGGTGGTGGCGACGTCATCTTGGTCTGAGTGGCAAAGGTTGGGCTTGGTCTTGGGGGTTGCGCGGGGGTTGAAGGTCGTCGCATCATTTGAATATTGGTGGGGAAGAGCTGCTGTGAGAAGGGTTGTTGTTGTGGCTGCGTGGGTTGTGGCTGCTGCTGCTGTTGGAAGGGTTGCGGCTGCTGCTGGAAGGGTTGTGGCTGCTGCTGGAAGGGTTGTGGCTGCTGCTGCAAGGGTTGCTGTTGCTGCGAGGATTGTGACTTTTGCTGCTGCTGCTGTTGGAAGGGTTGAGGCTGTTGTTGCTGCTGCTGTTGGAAGAGTTGAGGCTGTTGCTGCTGCTGTTGGAAGGGTTGAGGCTGCTGCTGGAAGGGTTGTTGTTGCTTTTGGGGTGGTTGCGGCTTGACCGAGTAGGCAGTGATGATGTCGCCTTGGTGCTCGTAGACCGGTGCTTGGGGTGCAGGGGTGATGGGGATGGCCGGGGTTTCAGGTCTGCGGGGGTAAAATTCAGGTCTGAATGCCGTGGGCGTAGGAGTCGCGGCAGGGGTGGTCGGGACAGTGGGTTTGGTTCGGTCAATGTTGAATTGCGAGGGTTGCCACCCCTGTCGGAAGAACGCAGGCGAGGGTGCGTACTGAGGTTGGGCAGTCGGGGGTGGGTACTGGTGTGGGCTGAAGAAGGGCATCATGGAGTTCAGCTCAGGGGGTTGACCTGAGAAAATTAGCGGCGAGCGGACGAGCTTGATGGGGTCTGGGAAGAAGCTGGAGAAGGTGCGGCCGTTGTCGTCCGGGGTCAAAACGGCGCCGTTGGGCTCGACGCGCACCTCGGCCCGGAATCCACCCTCGCTGTCTGAGGAGTAGCTGACGACGCGTAGGTCGCCGTTGGGCTCCGCCACCGAATACGTCCCGCGAACTTTGCCGCCGTCGCGACGCTCCTCTTGCGATTTGAAGTCGCCGGTTCGCGCGTCTTGAACTACGTAGCGAAAGGTGTAGTGCGGCTCGTTGTCGGCGCGTGCAGGGCCAGTGGGAATTGCTGGGGGCTGAGGGGGCAGAGCTCTTCGTATGGGGGCCACAGTCGTCTGAAATGAATCATAAAAAAATTTTAAGTTAATTTATATTTGAAGGAAGAAAATAAAATCAAATTTTTTTATCCAAAAAAAGTAAATAAACAATATAAAAAAAGCTAATTTAAGTGAGTAATGGAATTGTGCGAAATGGAGATCCAGGCAAGTTATTTTGCTCTGTTTGCCTTAATTCTCCGGATTTTAATTGATTTTAATATTTTGAGTCATTAAAAAAATGTGTTCTTGAAAAAAAAAATAGTTTATAATTTGATAGAAAAAGCTTTAAAAAAGTATAAATAATGAAATGTAGGATAAAGTACTAATATTTCATCTTTACACTGACGGTGATTTTTTTTTTAAATTGTCTTGATAAAAGAAATATTCAAAACTATCTATTACAAAAAAAAGGGTTGAGTGCATTCTTTCGTAAGCCTGACGTGAGATGCATCTCAGTCGGAATAATTATTGTTGTCACGTCACTTCGCTTATCAAAGTGTAAAGAATTCTAATGGAACGGGATTTCCCCTTTGAAGTTGGACGAGATAAATTCACTTACCGGTGGGGTTTTGCTTCCGAAGAATCCAAAAGTGGCGCAGCAGGTGGCCACATAGGTGAACACCACAAGTATCTGGAAAAATACAAAGTTTTAATCGGAGGAATTTGATTTTAAAAAATTGAAGAAATATGCTGGTATTTATGAGCACGTTTTGTGCGATGTTTTTTCCTTCCATTGTATTGCGAGTTTCGGTGAGGGGTGGAATTATAAAAGAGACGCCAAGGTTTACTCACCCGCAACACAAGCCCGATGGATCCCATGGTGTGTCTGTGACGTTCCTTTCGTTGCTTCTTTCTCGCGCACCTGCCCAGACAAAACTACGCAAGGAGCCGAAAGTTGAGTCACTTTTATATCGGGAGGAGGGATGCAGCAGGAGGCGGGCAGCAGCTTCCCAGCATCTCCTCCTGACTGCAGGTTGCTCGCCCGACCGCCGCAGCATCCCCTGTGGCACGCCAGCTTAAATTATAACGTTGCCATCATATCATTCTATCTTGGGCTGAAAAGTTGAAAGAAATTCCGGCCTGTCGAATGGAAGCCATTGTGATTTTTTATCATTCCCATTGTATTGTGGGCAGTAGAATTTCGAGCCGAGTTTTAAAGTTAAGCATCGAATTAAAGATGAATTAAGTTTTTTTTAAATTAATCCATTCTATGTCTTTTAAGTATTCTTAATTACAATAAAAATAATGCGTTAACTAATTAAAAAATTACTTTTTAATTTAAATTTGAAGCTAGGTAAGAGGCAAAGCGCTTGATTAATTCCAAAAATTTATTCATACCAAAGTAAATTAATTTTTAAACTGAAGGTAATTTAATTTGCTAATGATTTTTTATTTTTTTATTTCCAAATCTATTTTTTTTTAATTTCCGTTTGGAATTTGATGAAGAACTCTTACTTTCAGCCAATAAAGATTAAAATTAATTGTTCAATAAAATTTTCCCATTTTTTGTGGAAATGCTTGGGATGGTTCAGAGGGGTCACTAGCCGGCTAATACGCGTTGCATGCAGCGTCTTCCTCTGTTCCCTTTCCTCTCGGGGCGATCATGCGAGCGAGGAAATATTTACTTGATTTACCACCTCGTTTAAGTAAAAGACCTCCCGCCACCCCCGTGGACCAATAAAACAACCGGTGACTACTGTGCTGCCGGAATAAATCATCCCCAACGGCTCATCAAGTGAAAATAATTTATGCCGTCTCTAAAATTACACAATCATATAATCCTATTCAACTGAATTAACTGTAATTATAGGATTTTCACACCGAGTTTTATATTTTAAAAGAAAATTATTTTCACATAAATCAAATTTTTTTTCTTGGTAAATTTTCGTAGACGATTAGCTCTTCAATGGAAACGAATCAGTTAAAACAATGGACGCGACCACCTGCACAATTATTTTATCAAGATGCGCGGTACAATAATGCAGTTATGGGGCCCTGATTCGTATCTTTTCCAGATCATCCTTCGAACTGGTTAAGTCGCTCAGCCGGTCGGATCCCTCAAATCTCAACGCCTTAATGTACAGTTAATTTTTATATTTTTAATTCCTGCTCAACACCCTTTCCAGAAAAAGCTCCTCTCTTCCTGTGTGCGCGGTATAATTTGTTTGAAATGAGATTCTCTCGTGATCTTTGATTGATGGAAGCACACTGGGCATGAGAAAAACACAGTCAAGCTGGAAGTAATTTTTTTCGTGTCCGCTAATTGAAATGTTTCTCAACCAGGCGTTTTGATTGTTGTCAGTCTGATAGACTTTTGATCACCTCCTGCGGCGCTTCATCTTTTCTTGGCTAATAATTATTAAAAATTTTAAAGTTATTCTCCAAATTTTAAATAAAATTGAGTTTTATAGCAATTTCCAAAATTTAATATTTAAATTTTAATTGTGAAGGAAAATATTGTGTAATTTGGACATAAAAATTAGATAATACCACATGACAAAAGCTCAAAATTTTATATCAAATATTTTTTTTTACTAAATTTTCAAACATAATAACTCAAAATCCTGTTTGCTTAGAACAGAAATTTATTTAATCAGACTAAAAGAATAATAGTCAAAATCGGCCAAGAATTGCGATTTATTATTATTGATATAGTTTCTTTGTTTATCTTCTACAATTAATTACATTATCCATTTGAAAAAAATTGCTTAAAAAATGAGAGGTGGTGAAAACGGAACCTCCAAGATGCTAAAACTTCCAAGATAAAAAAGACAACATCGGACGTAATTTTTATTTATGAGGACTTAATAAAGTTTTGGTTAATTCTTTGACCTTTCGTTTGTAATGTTTTTCCTCGTCTATTTCCACTAAAAAATTCCAGTAGAATTATCTGTCAAATGTTTTTTGAACAAATTCTCCAAGATCAGTATCAGAAAAGTTGATGCTCACTCACTCGACGGCGGCGTTTTATTGATTCCTGGTTACTTTTTACGCGCCTTTCGTGATTTGTTCTTACGGTGTGCGCGGCCGGTGCATCGGAAAAGGATGATGACCGTGGGAATTGAGATGCAAAAGAAAAGGGTCGGTCAGGTAATGCTTCCTGTCCGAATGATGCATCATCATGATATTTCGAAGCAGCGCTGTCACACCGCCAGTAATTAATTTTGACCGCCGCCGACAAACCGGCTTCTTTTTTATTGTAAATTGGTTCAAATGGCGCGTACTGAGCTTTTTGAAAGGAGGTTTTTGAACGATAAGGAACAGGCTGTCGGCCACAACAAAAGCGACCAAATATACAGTTATTTCTGGGAAGTTCTCCAATTTTCCAAACCTGTGACCAAGTTTTATTTTTATTTAAAGTTATTCGTCAGCGAATAATTAAAACAATTGTAGATTTTCAAAATAATCCCCTATTCTTCACCTATTTGGCTTTTTTTTACCAAAATTCGCAAGCGACTTTGGAAAAAATAATCTAAATAGTTGCCTATTTTATTTGGAAAAAAAACAAGCTGTTTTTAAATGTGATAAAATTGAGGTTTGTTATGTTACAAATTTTTGGGAGTTACGTTTCATTAAGATTATAGAAAATTTAAAAATATATAGAAAGACTTTTTTTAACTATATATCCAAAACATAAACAAAATTCCACCGAATTCATTAAAAGAAATCAGATAAGGAGCAAAAAGTAACAGTATCTCATTGAAAACAAGATCCACTGACAGGGTGCTCATAATTATTTTTTCTGCCGCGCGTGTTTGGGTTTTTGAGAATGATTAGTCAAGGTGCAATAAGTCATATAAAGTAACGGCATCTGTAGCCCGAACATGCACCAATTAAGTTCATTTGCATAAGGGCAGTTGGCTAGCGGGTGGGCGTGCAACGCACTCTGGAGAAGAACCAGAGAAAAAAATTATTAAAGAGTTGGGGAAAAAGAGGAAGAGAGGCCGAGGCGGCTCATTTCTTTTCTTCTGAGTGTGTGATCAGCGGCGCATTGTTTTTTCTAAGCGGCGCTCTTCTTTCGCTCTCCCCCTCACACCCTCCCTTAGGCAAGGTGACCTTTTTCCAGCTCGGCATTCTTTGATGGGAAATGTTGATATCCGAACCTTTAACCACATAACTACGTGCTGCTGCTTAATATATCTGGCCCCGAATCCAGCGTCTCTCTCTCTCGCAGCTCTTTTTGATTCTCCTCCTCTCACTTTTAATTCGAAATATCGCTGCATAGAAATCACTCCGAAGCGTCATTACGGCGATTAACGCCGCGTATCCCACCAGCGAGAGCAGGAAGCGGTTTTTGCCCAAGTCGCATTTCGGGCGATGATCTTATTAAAAAGTGATTCATGGACCATCGTCAGACCAACACAAATTAGCCTCTGTCAAAAAGAGTAAATGCGCCCCTGACAAATTGAGCGCCCCTGGTTACAACTTTGTTGGAAACGAACAAAGTCATCCCGACCATTTTTCACCATGTCCGTGCTAATTAAGTCGTCCAGCAAGTAAAGAGTTGAAATAAACTCTTTGAAATCTGTAAATATTGAAAGTAAAATGAATTAAAAAAAAGAGGAAGTCTAGTTTACTTTTACTTAAAAATTAAATATTCTTTCTTATCCTTCAAACCCAAAATTTGATTAAAAATATGTATGTTTTTTTTTTTTAATTTCATAAAATACCTGATAATTCTTTTGATTTTCATTGAATTAAAATTTAAAATTTTTATTGCTTTAAATTGAATTTTAAGTTTTGTTTAGCTTATTATGAAGATATGAAGTGTAAACTAATCAGTTTGATCACTTTATGTACCGTTTGAAGACTCATTTCGTGTGTCGATATCGCCTCCATAAATTTCCTGACCACTTGCCCAGCCGACCCTGGTAATGAAGTTTGTTTTTATTTATTTATTTATTGGCCCGCTCTTTAATGAAGAACAGACAGAATTTATAGGGTCGCGGCACCTGAACCGCCGCGCCTCTCTTCTCGAAAAGTAAACACCTAATTTGATTTGAATAAACAAGCCGAGTTAAGCAGTTTTTTTTTTTCTGTCAGTGAGATTAACTTTTTCTTTTAAATACAAATTGTTTTTCATTTTTTTAAATTTTATTTGATCAAAGTGGAAATCCCAAAGTTAAGAAAAAAAAAACCAAAACGGTGAGGGCATTGCCTTGTTAGCCCGTGATGGATGTTAATTGTAGAGTTGTCTTGTTGGCACAGGCAATGGTAATTAATCTCCTGCTTTTCACAGACGGACGAGGATGACACCGGAGCAAGTGCTGGATACACGGACCCCTCAGTCTTCACGTCGTCGGTGAGTTTATACGAAGTTGCTGGAAAATGCAGCAATCATAAAATAACATATAATAGGAAGAAATCTCGACGGAATAGAAAAATAATCTCCTCCCCCAGAGCAGTAATAAAAAATATACAACGCCGCCTTGCCGAGACTGCTGCAGTAAAAAATTCAACAAGATCGCAGCCAGATATTTTAATGGGATTTCTTTTTAAATTATTAACATAATTTTTATAAGGGGTTAATAATTTTATGAATCGAGTCTCCGCGGCTGCTTCCTTTCAAAGACCGCAGCAGTCGTAAACCAATAGAACGGAAAGGAAAACCAAACCACGTTCCTCTCTGTGCGTTTACCTACCACAGAGTTTTGACTTTATGACTCGTAAAAGGAAAAAAAGCTGAGATTTTTACTGCAACGGCGTTAAACAGAGATAAGATTTAAGACGTGTAAAGTCACAAAGTATTTAATCATCGAGCAGAGTGAACTCAAAAGTTAATACATAATAAAAATTTAATTACAAAAATTTAAAAATTCAATCAAAAATAAAATAATATGACTGGTTTTGGGCTGTGCCTTTTTTTAATGCCCGGACTCATGTCCACCCAAGTGTCACCGTTTAATTGGGTGTCTCCCATGCTCATTAAGACTGACATATCGATGATAATTGTTGCAGGTAACTGTAAAAGCCAAGTATGACTACCAAGCGCAGATGACCGACGAATTGTCGTTCCCCAAAGGGGCCATCATCCAGAACGTGACCAAAGACTCGAGCGGCTGGTGGCGTGGAGACTATGGTGGCAGGTTACAGCACATGTTTCCCAGCAATTACGTTGTCGAAGTCGACAGTAACTCGAGCAGTTCCTCCACAGCAACTGGAGAAGACCAAAATGAAGTAATTTAAATTTATTATATTATCTGTTGAGTATAAAAATAATTAATTAATTACAATAGAAATAAAACAATAAATTTATACTGAATTATTAAATATTAATGTTTAAATTAAATTAATGAATAATTTTTTGTAATTTCTACAGACCTCAGATTCCATGCTTCTTGGAAATTTGCAAAAAGGAGCCATTAATCTCACCGGTGTTGTGGTCGAACTTGAAAATAGCGCTGGCCTTGCTGGCCATGAATGGCAGCTGAAGATCACCAACTCAAAGATGACCATGCCTTTTGTGGTGAGTTTCAATGAATTTCCACTGTGAAGGAGTCAATTCAATTGTGGTTGCACCTTTATTTTTTGTTCACATTTCTCCTCTCCTGATTTTATTTTAAATTTTTTCATTCAGGTCGCTGCTCCGACAAGGGAGGTTGCTCTCGAATGGGGAACGAGCATTCGAGACACAGCGGCCAGTGCCAATGACCGCGACATCCGTCAGAGAGAGCAGGAAAGAAGTATGCGGGTGGCCGTTGAAATCTCCAGTCTCATCATCTACTGCAAGTCGGTTGCATTCGACAAGGAAAAATGCAGAAATGGATTCGACTTTACGGAAATGTCATCATTCCCTGAGAATAAGGCTGAGAAAACTATGTGTTCCAATGAGCTTAAATTTTTCCTCAAGTACCACATTGTAAAATCACACCAATTAATCATGTTCAAATATTACAATACATTTTCTCTGCAGCACCAAATCAGCAGAGTTTATCCCAAAGGACAGCGCCTGGATTCGTCAAATTATAATCCTGTGCCAATGTGGAACGTCGGCTCTCAAATGGTGGCTCTCAACTTCCAGACGGGGGACAAGTTCATGCAACTCAATCAAGCCAAGTTCCGGTTGAATGGCAACTGCGGGTATCTTCTGAAACCAGAATTCATGATGAAGGAAGACTTTGACCCTTACGAGAAAGCTTGCATGGCCGACAACACTTTTATGCAAATTACACTGAGGGTAAATTACTTTTTTTTAAACCTTGTGTGACTCAAACTGATCAAAATTATTAGGTTATTGGAGCTAGGCACTTGTGCAGACAGAAGAAAGGAATCATCAGTCCATTTGTGGAAGTCGAAGTCATCGGACTGGATTATGATTCGGGAGTAAAGTTAAAAACCAAGACAATTTGTAAGTTTTAGAATAACATCAAAAATGATTATTAAATTAATTTCATGCAGCTGACAATGGATTCAATCCTGTGTGGAATGAGACGACCCTCTTTGAAGTTGTTTGCCCTCAACTGGCTTTCCTTCGATTTGTTGTTTACGACGAGGACGTGTTTGGAGACTCCAATTTTGTCTGCCACGGCACCTACAGTGTAAGTTTATAAACAGCCTTGTTTGTGCAGAAATCAATGAGTTACAAAATTTTAGATTATGGCCATTCGAACTGGGTACAGGAGCATTGCACTCAAGAATAATTTCAGTGAAGACCTAGAACTCTCGTCCCTACTGGTTCACATTGAAATTAAAAACTATCGAGTTGTAAGTTGGCGACTTGAGATTTAGGTAAATAAGTATTTACTTTTTTTTTAATTTCCAGCAAGAGTTGGAGAACACCAACATTCGTGGCATCGCCAATGCCATCAACATAACCATGAACGGAACGTCCACCATGGGCGACTTCACAGACTTCAGTTCTTCCCGAGCCTGACCAAGTCAATGATCTGCATTTAAGTCACTACGCACATTTTCCTGAGACTTTTGCCTCTCTATCGCTTCCATTACTCTAGAATTAATCATTATTAAGAGATCACATACATGACACCGATTTTATTAAGATTATATTCTGCATGTTACGTGTTATTTCGTTTTAGAGATCACTGCTTCTCTTCAAATAAAGGTTGCAGTTTTAGCATTTAATATATCAAGGACAATCCAGAAAAAATGTGTCAATCTATTCTTCTAAGCCTTCTGAGTAATTGAAAAATTAATGTGCCTTTTGGCGATAACTTGGTCTAAATTCCTTCCGATGCTGTGAAATTGGAAATATCAGTGCAATATTGTGTGTTATTAGCAATATTTTTAAAAAATGAATCGAAGCTTGAATGAAAATCTGTCAACAAGCCACCGAAGAATAATATATTGTAAAACTCGTACGCATTTTTATGTTATATTATGAGACTTGCACTAGTGCATCAAGTTGTGAAATATATAATTATCTATTTTTTGGAACCTCCGGTCTACTGGTGTATCATTATAAAATGTAAGAGTAGTAAAATTTAATCAACGACTTATAAATCATTTACTGTTGTCATACACAAATTAAATCTCAATAATTCTGCTGCAAACAAGATTGCAGTTCCTTTTTTTGTTAATGGCGAAATGAAATAAATATGATTTTAATCAATATAATCGCATTTTTTTCCAATATAATACATGCATGAAGTTTTGTTAGCTAAATGAAACATTTTTTTTATTAAAATTTATTTATTAAGACTTGAAGAGCATGTTCTGAAGCTGAGGGGTGGTAAGAACTATATAATATGGTTCCTTGTAGACATGAGGGAATTCTGCACACACATAATTTAGAAACAAAATTTGAAAAATGTCAATCTTATGACGAGTTATGTGAAAAAAAAAACCAAACAGCCTGATCGGAAAATAAACTAAATCCGGTGCTGCAAAAATTTCCCTCTGAAAAATGCCAACCAAGGCGTGCATACTTTGGCGGCACTAGCAAACTTAATTATCTTGAACATCCATTCACAGACTCCTACCACTTGTACAAATATAGCACTTAAAAAGTAACCAACAAAAAATATATATATCTCACGTAGTGGTGGAGAATTCAAAGCATTGATCTGAATAAATTTCTGAGTTATCGGGGGAAGGAACAAGAGCTGCTTCAATATTTGTTGGGTTAACAAGCCAATTTCAACAATTTTTACATGGTGTTCCGATCTCTACTTTGCTTTTTTTTAGAATTGTGCTCTCAAATTAACACTTTAATATCACATTTTGAAAACTCTCTGTGACGAATATATATTAATTATTTCAATTTCATTCACTGCTCTACACGCTTGGTGGAGGCAGCCTATTTGTCAGTTGGCTGCATTAAAAATTTTGGCAAGCATGCAAACACGGCGCTGTTTGGGAACTGTTCCCGACACTTGACGATCACTCTTCTTGCCAGGTCTTTTATCCTTGGGTACGGAGCCTCGTGTGCCAACAAGGCCGCAAGCAGCTGGATACCACCCTCTTCGATCACCAATTGGCAATATTTATTTGCTAATAAAATAGAAATGTGAATACATGAAGATTTACACATTTATATTGTTATCTGGAGTAATTTGGTTCGATAAAACATTACTCACCATAGACTTCGGTTAAATTGGCTAGTGCCCAGACAGCCCAATGCTGGCATTCTGGCGTGTGGTAAACATTGACAAGGTGCAAAATAGGTTCGAAGGATCTAAAATAGCAAAATTTAAAGATAGTCTAAATATATATTATAATTTTTTCTTGCCTGTAATTAATATTTCTTTCTGTCTTCAAGTCCCACTTTTCTACGGCATCAACCATCCCCTTGAGCACATCTTGTCTGCGAGGGGTGCTCATTGTCCATTTGTCGGCACCATCTGATGCCATGTGCGAAAGAACACCAGCTGCATTATAGCTTACCTAGAATAACAACAAAATGTCACCATTCAGAGAAAAATTTGATTAAATGGATCAAACCTCAATTCCATCACTATTTGACTCCAAAAGGTTGGCAAAAACAATAACAAATTCACTGGTCATAAGTTTGGGCCGCAAGTGTTTGACCTCAGCAACGTTTCCTAGGAGACCCATCATGTTTCTCAGCAGTTCCTCCTTTTCTTGGAAGGTCTAATGGATAATAAAATTAAAAACCAGCTTCATTAGAAAACTGAAAGACTTACGTTGAGACATTTGAGGAATAGATTCATGCCCCCGCCCTCGAGGAATCGCTGGCAGTTGACTGCAGTCTCGTCAGTTACGTTCCACATTGTGGACCAGGCCACTTCCAACACATCATCACAAACCCGCCGCTGAAGCCTATCCTCGATTATTTTCAGCATTCTCTGTTAAAAATGATGAATTCATTTTTAAAAACAAATAAACGCTCCTCATGGCAATTATTAAAAGAGAATAAATGAATTTTACATTTCATTTTTCCATTCATAATGAAATTAATTTCTCCAAAATGGCAATTGGAAGAAAAAGACTATTATTTTACAAACTTACATCCATGGCGCCCATATCTCCGAGCAGCTGCTTTTGAGTTCCGTCCACCTGACATGCCAGACTGTTGAGGAGGTAAATTCCAATTCGCTGGACAAACCCTTCTTGCTCCATGTCCGAAACGATGTGGAGGAGAATTTCTACTAGACGCTGGTACTCAAACAGCTATGTACGTAAAATAAAAATTAATTGTTCAAGTAGAAGAAACTTAAGTGAACCCACCACATCCTGAGGTATTTTGAATTGGCATAAAGTGAGACAGCCATTTCGCATCATGGTGTCGTCATCTCTGTGAGAACCCATTGCATTCAGTAAGGTACTAACAATCCGTTTTTTGATATGCGGAACAAACACTTGCTTCTCCTTCCCTTTCACGATGTAGAACAAAGTGGCACTATAATTTGATCAATGATGAATTTGGTGGAAAAAACAAATTGAGTGCAAGTTTTACCTCCCGGAAATTTGAATGTGCTTCTCCGTTCTGTGTCTATCCATTGCTCCCAGGACTAGAGTTAAGGCCATGTTCAAGTCTCGACAGGATTCGAATCTGAAGAGGTGATACAAATCGTTCAGCACTTTCTGCAAAATGTCCGGCCGGTCCAAATACGCAGCCGCGGCAGTCAAAATCTGTTCCTCATTAGCATCTCCAGATATCTAATAAATAAATCAATTAAATAAATTGTTTTGATAAAAAATATCATTTTTTTATTTTGAACCTACTCTTTTAGCAGGAATATCATGTCTGTGACAAGCACCATGCATTGTTCCGTACAAGCCGAGAAACTCGAGAGGTTTGAATGCTCTAATCTTCAGTCCAGGGATGTCAGAAACACCAACCGATGTGTCATCTTGCATCACTGCCGCACCTGATTGAGCAATTTCGACCATATTCATTAACCCATTTTCAATTTAAAATCACTTCATACCTGTTCCTGCCAGATTTGTGCCCGAGATGTCAAGAGATTCCAAATTGGGCAGATTCTGGACGAGTTGCATCAGAGCTTGGTTCTCATCTTTGAACTTGCCATTCCTCTCCAGCGCTTGTGAAATGTCTAAATGCCTGAAATCACCACAATTATTATTCAAATCCCACCATTTTTCAAATGAAACCAACCTTAACGATTTGATCTTGCAAATAGCTGGAATCATGGGCTGGATTTTTTGCACGTTGTACAACACAAGCGACATCAGGTTGCTGATTTCCTCCAGGTAATCGAGTTGGCCCAAACCTTCGCAGCTCGACAGGTCTAAGTGGGTCAGACTTTTCAAAGGACGTAACAACGTCATGAAGTAGACCCTTTCTCGTTTCTGCAAAAAGGAAATGTAACTAATTACAATTGAATAAATAATTAAAAAGCAAGTGCAGTTGGCTGTAACTTTATTACTATCCCACCATTATCAGATTATGCGCGAAAAAAAACTAGCCGCAATGTGGTGACTTAGGTTTCAATGCTACTCGGCAAAGGTCACTGTCATCAGTTGCCATTTAAGTCGACCAACCAAAAACCACAGTTTAATTTTCTTTTCATACCAGCGTCCTGATGCAGAGCCGTCGGAGCTTTGGCGCCCTGAGGATGAAGCCCCTCGCCTTGTAGACGTTGCTCGGCTCAGACATGGTGATGATGACTTCACTGAGGTCCGGAGGAAAGATTTCAGTTTCCTGTCCGACGGTCAATGACAACAACTGGTCGCTGGTCACGTTGAGGGTCTCGAGACAGTCGTCGGACAGCTTTTTGCAGATGTGCAGGTCCAGCTCGGTGAAGCGGTGGGCAACGAGCAGCCGCTTCAAGCCTTCGTTGCTCAGGGGCGAGCTGCGCAACTTGAGCCGCTTCAGCGGCATGCACACCGAGTTGATGAAGAGGTTTGCAAAGCCATCGTCCACCATGTTGCCCTCTTGTTGATATACCTGGAATTTTTAATTATGAATTTTTAGACAAATATTTAAAATTAAATTACAATTTAAAATATTGATTTGAACTAATTTTTTTTTTAATCAAGTTGCTTATAAAAATTAAAGTTGAAATAAACTTAAGACAAGAAATAATAGCAATTACAAAAATTTAAAATTGCTCTCATTTTGAACTTTGACCACATTTTTCTACTTAATTCTATTGGGTTTTTCAATTTTATTGATAAGGCATTGAAGTACCTGCAAGAGTCGCTCGCAAATCTCATTGGGCATGACCACTCCGGGAAGGAGGTGGTGCATCGAAGGGTCCGACGAATCTGCATAGCTGATCGTGTCCAGACAAGCGCAAATGTACTTGAGGCAGATTTCCGAAAGCGGCTCTGGCGTTTCCTCGTTGACCAACAAAGGACAGGCCAGCATTTTAGATCCCGGTTATTTCTTCCTGAAAAGAGTGACGAAAAAAATTAAGAATAGAAAACCAAACGAAACAGAATTAAAAATCTAGAAGGGACGGAAAATTCTAAAATTTTCTAGAAAATTCAAGATACATTGGAAAAAGTACGAAAACGAAAGTTTAATGCAGTTTTATGGTGACAGTAATCGCAAAAAGTGATAATATACGGAGTGGAATTTATTATGGCGATGCAATAAATTATAACGTCCGGAATAGAAAGCCAGCGAATTTCACACGCAAAAGGAATTATGCTATCTGCTGCTGCTGGACTGCTTTTGACATAACATTTTTTTTTATTATTTTACTGTTCTCTCGTGACATAACAACTCGAACTTGTCCGTCATCGACCGCACCGAACCAAACAACCAACCAATTAAGACAAAAGCCAAGAATTAACGCGTCCGTAATTAAACTTGGGCAACAACACCAAAATTAAAACTAGCGAGCCCATTTTTTTTTTACAGGCCGAGACTTTTGACTTTTCCGTCGCGTTTCAACCGCGATTCAGACGGTAGAGTGTCCGAACGGGACGGCGACTCGGCCAAGGTCACGTTTGCCTACGAGCCCCGCCGAGTGCGGGCCCGAAAGGGGGCCAGGGGCGCGATTTGTGGGCCAAGAAAGTGAGCGCCTGGCTGTCACTCACCCACTTCACACGGCCATTTGACGCTCGAGTCGCGTCCGCCGGACGCTGTCCGCTCGCCAGTCGAGTCCTGAGGGTGGCTGCGATGCCCGCGGCCCAAGGGTGTGCTCCGATCTTGGTCTAGCGCACCAGAAAAGCGGCCAATTCGTGTTATTTTCACCCCGAATGTTTAGACATCACAGATGATGGGGTCCTTCCCCTCTGTCGCTAAGAGGCCCCCTCCATCGTCGCGCTATCACTTTTCCCCTACCGACGGCGGCCACTGCGCTAAAACCAAGCAGGGAAAGACGTCACGAGAGGTTTTATGCAACCGGCGCGACGCTCGAGTGAAGCGGGGTGCATTCGGCTCGATTTGTAGGGGTCTCGGCCAGACGTTCACTTCCTCTGGGATTTTTCAGGGAAAAACAATCAAAATTTAAATTAAAACCGAGCTTACAGATATAAGAAAATTGTGATTCTCATCCGCAAATTAATGTTTTGCCTGAATGTTAATTTCAGACTTAAAAAATATACTATTCGTTACACTACGTTAGTTTTTCCGTAATTTATTCATGATTCATGTTATGCAAATATAAAATATCTGTTCATATTTTCTAATTAAATTGAGAGTATTGATTTAATTCGTCCTGTTCAAAAGAAGAATAAATTACATTTTAAAGATATGTAAATTTAATATAGTTATAAAGCTTTTTTATTGTATATTATTTTTATTGGTAACAAAATTCTTATTGCTACTCATAGAGGTACATGAATATAAACTCCAATGGCTTGCAGATCCACATTTTCAATAAAAAATCTCATTTTCAACGGTTTGATGTTTCACTTTTTTGGAACTTCACCAGGGTTTGTTTAAATTTTACATGACTATTGTACATATTTTTATTAATTCTGCATGAGTTTTTTTTTCTTGTAGACTAAACGTTGCACTTTTGATAGACAATTTTTACACTTGCTTGCGGTTTGAAAAAATATATTTATTATTTTTTATTTCTCTCTGCGGTATCATTTCATCTCTTAAAAGAGAACATCATTTTAAATTTTTAATTCAGGAAATGCCGACAAACTCCTACAAGTGTACATTTAACATACACTCCGTTGATAGAGAGTATAGGCGTTTATCGTCGATACAACATCCAACAAACCAAACTAGAGGGCTCATAAGTGTTGGACCGACATAACTAAGCATTGTAAAATATGTCATGGTCTCCTTGAAAATTTCTAGCTCTTTGTAAAATTTACAGAAATCACAGCAAAGTCAAACTGTCCTAGAGAGAAATATGGTTCTTGTTTTCTTCGTTTCCACATTCATAAATATGTTTTTCCAGTTTTGTGCGTTTTTAGCAGAAAAACAATTCACTCAAACCTTCATTAATAATATCGTTTGCTCTTGACAATAGGAAAATACTTTTTTTTTCATACAACAATTACAATTAAGACTGTGTTTATAAATATTTAACTGCTTAATAGACCCTTAGCAACTGCTTATCCTTTGGTTTTTACAGCTCAAGCACTCGCGACGATCACACTCATACTTCCGTCTGACTCACACTCATAACATCTCTCGGCATGTACAAAAAAAAAGAACTTTTGATAGTGTCCTCTGCAGCGTTGGACGATTGAGTTTTCACAGATGACTTGTCTGCTGGTTGCTGTACGTGTTCAAAGTGTTCTTCAACGCTTTTCGCACCGAGTTTGACGAGGACAGTTTTCTGCGTACCCTGTGCTCAATTTCCTGCAAAATAAACAGTTTAAAATTAGATATTAAAATATTTTGTATTTACGATTTTTATCAATAATGTGTTAGTCAATTAATTATTAATTACAAGCAAGAGTCGAATTTCCCTAAAAATAAAAGCAAGAATATTAGTAATGTTAGTTTGTGCCTCGGTTGCAAAAGGGGTTATTGCTATGGGAATGGGAAATAGAGAGTGGTATTAGTCGTATTAGTATTAATTTATATTAAGCAAAAGGAGAAAATAAATAGAGAGCAGAGTAGTTTTTCAAGTGAGGTTGAAATGTGTTGCGATGCAAATATTCTAGATTAAGCCAAAAAAGTTGCCCGTGAAATTTTTCATAAATCTTGGAGCTGAGTAACTTTTAAAACTGATCTTTCCTTTCCCCTAAATTTCTTAAAAAATTTTACAATGCAAGTAATTTTGCTTCAGAAAAGCCATTTTTTTTCTCACAATTTCTTAAAGAATGAAAATAACTGTTATTAGAAACGCTAGTATCAATTGCCATTAATAATCCATAAAGTTTTAAAAGATTTTTATTCCTAAAAAATTAAAAACTCTTTTCAATCTCACTCAATGTAAGCATTTTGTTAGTTTTGTTGAGATTAATTTTTCTGAAAGCGCTCTCCCTCCACCAGCGGCAAACTGAAGTCCAAAATTACCCTTTGTTCCGCCTTTTTCCTGCAATGCCTGGCCAGGAGTTCCAGTTCAGACAGACACGCCAGACTCTCGGTCTGCAGCAGCATATTTTCGTAATCGTGTCCGATTCCGGAAGAGCTCCTCGAGCTTTCCCTGCTGCCCCAAGTGCCAATCTTGAAATGCCACCCGGAAGAGGCGGCGGGAGGGGGAGGGGGCGAAGGGTTCAAATGCACCCTGGTCACCCCTTGCTTGCCGATATTCGTCTCGGGACCGAAAACTGAAATGACCGTTCTGGTTGCTTCCTGTCTGATGTTGGAGGAACAAGCCCCTGGCAATGGGGGCGGAGGGGGGTACAGATGGGACATGCTGCCGGTCAGGGTCGGCGAACTGTAGCCCGAGGAGGACGCTCTGCTGCTGTGCTCACCATTGACGGGAAGGACCATGATCGCAGGAACTGTATATTTGCACAAACGATAATTTTTAAGCAAAAATTTATAAAATAATAAGTTTTCAAGCGTTAACATGATTTATGGTAGCAAATTTTTATATATGATTTAAATAAACAGAAACTTTTTTGAGAAATTAAAATAAAATTTCTAAAAATTAAAAAAATCTTGCTTATTAATTGTTTGAAAGTATATTGTGTTAAAAATATAAAAAAGGGTCAAAATAAAAAGATCTAAGTAAAATATCTAAATTAAATCTATTTAATGTATATAAAGATTGATAAACTGACCAGGCAAATAAGGTTTTTTACTGCAAATCTGCTGTAAATATTTCAATTATTGAATACGACGTTTAGAAATACTTCCAAATTTAATGATAAATAAATGTGAATATAAAATTAAAATTTTGTACCTGGCTGCGGAACGGTGGTGCTGTCAGTGGTGATGGACCTGCTTGGCTCGGAAGGCGTTTCAATGGTATTGGGTGAGCCCAAGTCTTGCAGCATCTGCAACGCAGCCTCCAACTCCTTGGAGAACTCGGTGTCGCTGTTGTCTCTGAGCGTGGAGGGGTCTGTGGAGCCGCTGCCGGCGGGACTGCCGTCCTCCTCGTCACCGTCCTTTTTGTTTTGGATCGCCTGCTCCAGTTCGATCATCAAGGAGGCGTATTGGTACTTGCCGGATGGGGTGGCCACCGCGCTACTCACCACCGTCGGAGGGTGGAAACTGCTCACGCTGAAAATTTGCAATAACATTAATTTTTATTTTTTTTTTGCAATTACTTTAAAGGAACTGATTTTATATAATTTCAAATATAAATTGATAACATCAAATGGAATTAAATTATTTAAAATGAGCAATTTTATTACTAATTTTTTCTCTTCTTTTTGCTCTTTGACAATTATAGGCAAAATTTTAAATTTTTTGTTGCTGGTATCAAATTTTTTGAACTTTGATTTAATTTTGAAAATTCAATCAATTTTTATAAAGAATGAAACTTAAGCAATAAAATACTATATTATTTAATTAACTCATAAAAATCTTGATTTTGGATTTTGATTCGATTTTATTCTATATGAGGAAATTCAGGAATATTTTTTTTCAGAAATTTTAGGCAAACTGGAAATAATTGATTGTATTGAATTATATGAATAAATAATTAACTTTAATCTAATTTCATTAATATTATTTCTTATGAATTATATCGACAAATAAAATTTACCTTTTTGTTAAATTTTTCTAATTGAGTTAATTTAAATAATTTTTGTGTGGTCAGCATACCTGTGGGGTCGCGTGTCGCAACTCTCACTGCGTCTGTGGGTGCGCGCCGTGTCGGTGGAGGAACCTGGACGTTGCACCGCATAAGCGTAGTCGGCAGTGTAAAGACGGGCGCGCGGCGAAACGGTGGCCGTCCGCTTGTCCACACTCTCGTAAATGGGGTGGTTCAGACTGCACGTTGGCGAGGGGGTGCGCGAGAAGCTGCGCATGAAGTTGAGGCTCGTTCGGTCCTCGTAGGCCGGCACCTCTAACTTGACCACCACCTTTGACTGCCAATTAATAGGGAAATTTAAATACAAACTTTGTTGGAGTAGAAATAGGTAAAAATTTTAACATTAGAAATAATTTTTGAAATTTCTACCCCCAGGACGTCATGCAATTTTAAAAATTTTTCAGTTACCTATAAACTATAATTTTTTTCTACAACCAATAATGAAGGCTTGCAACAGCTTATGATAGGTGAAAAATAGATAAAAATAAATAAATAAAAACTTTTTAAATACATTATACTAATCCTTTTTGCAAATTATACGATTTCCGTGGGTTTATTTTAAGAAATTCGTGCCTGCAGTCAGAGAAGGAGTATTAGTTTTAAATTTAATTTTTCTTGATTGTTAGCTCAACATTTATATGATTTAATTTGAACTAAACAGAGATTAAAGATAAGTATAATTTTTGTATAGTAAAATATACATTTAATAGCGATTTAGGATAATTAAATGAGAAAAAAATGCTCTTACTTGCTGAGGCGTCCGGCTGAGCAGGTACGTGTTTGGCCGGTTGTAGGCACTTGGGGGTTCCTCTGCACGCAGGCAGGGGGTGACCTCAGTTATGCAGCCCCCGACGGGCCCCGTGTCGAAGACCCACGCCTGTGCCGAGTTCTGGTTGGTGGTCAGCCGGTGCTGCTCGTCGTCTTCGTCGTCGTCTAAGTCGGTCGGACGCTGAAAAAAAAGATTTCCCATTTTTTACGTTTAAAAACAATTCTGAAAAAATGAGTTTACCACTTAAATTATTGAGGGTTGAAGTTCTGATTTTTATTAATTTTCACCCAATTCATAGAAAATTACAACTAAAATTTGATCTTAGAATAGAACAACACAAGTGAAAAAATGTAAATTAAATGTATTTTCTCTTCAATCTTGGACAATGTATATTTTCTAGACTGCATTCAAAATTGATTAATTCAAGTATTTATTCAGTCTTGATTCTATAAATATTTAAAGTGTGGAAAAAAACTAATTGTAAGTAGTAATCTGTGTTTACTTTAATTCTCAGGAGTATAAACTAAAATACCTAGCGACAAAAACACATTATTTTAATCGATAATAGTTAATTCCAACATTTTACTTCATCCAATAAAAGTAAAAAACAAATCTCGCTAGAATTGCAGTCGAGAAGCCTCGACTTTGCACTCTTTTCTGGCGACATCGCCGAGATATATTCACAACAAAAGCAGGGTGAAAAAGCAGGCAGACGTGCACGCGCAAATACGTGGAGAGATAAGAATAAAAAACTCACCCTCGGCAAAATGTACTCCATGTCGTTGAGGATGGGGTCTGGCGCGGGTTTATTTGTTTCGGCTCTTCGCCGGCGCGCCCTGATGTTGTGCAGAACACAAAATGATATGTGGGTATCCAGCAAGGCTGTGATTACAATTAGGGCGCTACTCAGACTGGTCGAGAGGCGAGCTGCAAAAACACAGGGAATATTTTATGAGCGACCAACGAGATCAAACTCGACAAGTCAAGAGAGAGTCTTGTCAGACCCTCAGCGTGCACAAAAATAAAATAAAAAACATACACCATGTAAAAACCAGTTCTTTTTTTTCATTTTCTTAAAATCATCCAGTGAAGATTCAATCACGCAAATGGAAATTCGCTAAAATGCTAACTCATTGTTGGTGAAGTGAATTTTGAAATTAAATTTTTCTTTAATTTCTTAAGACTGGCATATTTCTGGAATTGCAGGATATTTTTTTTATGTTATTGCAATTATTTTGCCAGAGTCCAGAGTGACAAATTGAACGGTAAAAATTTAAGCAAACATATATTAAACAAGACAATATTGACTAAAGACTTAAATTTCAAAAGCAAATTCAAAAATTTTAAGAAAAAAGGAAAAATTGCATTAAAAGCAGAATAGAAACTAACGGAAACTAACAAAATCTGAAGTTCCAGAATTGGAATATGAGTATTTAGGCCACTCGATAATCAGCATAGTTGAAGCTTAAATCTCTCTTTTTAAAAAAACGTCCCCTTCGTGGAAGAATTAAATCCGTTTGATTAAATTTCCACCTTGAACATTAAAGAACCCAACCTACTGAATACAAGGATAAATATATATAAATTATAATAAAAGCCATCTGTGTCCGGCGGGTTGCATACACTTGACGCAATAAAAAAATAAGTAAATTTGGTTTCAAAAGTGAAAATATAAAGGGAAAAAGGAGAGAGAAAATAGAGAAATTTGATATCGGCCACGGTCTTGATTCTGGCACTACTTTTCCTTTCAATTTCGACCGGATACAAGTCGTGCTCAATTTCAATATTGGTCTTTCTCAGAGGCACATAAAGAGAGAAAACGTAACTCGGATGCAATCAAGCTCACGTAGGAAAAGGCGTTTTTGCGGCGCAAATCGAAGGAGTGTGAGAAGGAGCCGAATTCGCCCGTGACACGTACCGCATGACTATGAAAAGCGAACCGGGGTTGATCGGAACGAACGTGTACGTCGGGGCCCGCCGCACTAGCACACTTGCAGCACGCTTGCGATAAAAAATTCCGGGATCGATTTTTGCTATTTGTACGTGTTGCTGGTGCCTGCCTTGCCTGCTGCATCGACGGCGGAATTTCATTTCGGTGCTGCCGCATTTCGGCTGCGAGAAAACAGCGCCTGCTAAAATTTCATCCCGGCGTGAGGCGCGAGCGAGAACACTTTTGCCCTTAAGAGCAATTTGCAGCCGACGCGCCACCGGGTAATTTTTTCGCGAGAGCACTCCTCGCTCCACGCGGCGTTGAGACGCTTTTTCTTGCAAATGTCGCATAAATCACTTTGCGCTCAAGAGAGGAAATTCGTTCTGGGCGTAATTATGAGAAATTAGTATTAAAGACGGGGAATCATTTCACAAATTAATGTTGAAAAAGTGTTTTTTAATTTAGACTTGCAAAAAATATCCGTCTCCATCTGAAAGAAGGTTAATTTTTAAGGCTTAAATTAATAAATTTGAGTTTAAAAAATCTCTGGTTATAGACTTTACTAGCAATATTAATTAAGTAAAAAATGAATTAATATTAGTTTGGAAAATTATTAAATAATAATGCTCCCTATTCAATAACAAAAGAAAGAAGCATTACTAAAAAATTATAGTATTTTCTGGATAAAATTAAAACTTAATGTATTGATCTCACTTTTTTCCAATTAAAATCAGTCATAGGGCAGCTTTTAAATTTTCATACTCTGCAGCAGATTTAAGAACGTTTCAGGTCTTGAGATAAAAAAAAAGTTTATTTCGCCAACTTCGTTTGAATTCTGCAGCTTATTAATTTCTGCTGCTGGGGCGGGCGGCAGAGCGAAAACCACCCAACAAGTAGTCAAGCAGTTTCGCCACCACTCACGCAACCCTCTGCTTCTCTCGCCAATCCAAATTAAGTGATTCCGGCAGCCCCGAGCAAGAAAATATAATTTCTCCCAGGCGACGACGCAGGAGTTGGAGGGTTTAAGGAAACGGTTTTGTCCCGAGTGGATCGACGCGATATAACGCGCGCCCCATATTTCGGTGCGGGTCGATTTAATTGTCAAGGCAGCCAAGTATGAGCGCACCGGAGGGTTACTCACCATAACACACCAGCCTGTCGAGACTCTTATCCGTAATATTCTGGCGGTCCTCGGCCGAGAAAAGGAAAACCCACTCGAAGAGCTCCAGCACCGCCAGGTTGACCGCGTTCACGGTCAGCACGGAAATGCTCAGATACAGCAGGATTTCCAGCCGGGTGGCATTCAAGTTGGTCGCCAGGCCCGCAATCAGGGCGCATGAGATTCCTGCCAGCAGGTTCTGCAACATTCATAACAAATAATTGTAATTATGCGTGTCGGAATCAATTTTTCAAGATAATATGCATTCTATGAAAATATAAAATATTTAAAAACAAGAACATTCAATAAAAATTCCTTAATAATGGTATGAATTGCTTTAAAAAAATTAAAATTTATAATTATACAAATTCAGTAATTTTAATTGTGTTTAATATTAGACAAAAATTAATTATTTCTGATTTATCACACATTCGTTGTTCATAGATACGATAGATACTATTTTAAACAACATAGTAAATTCAAGCCTGTAGAATAATGGTAGATATAATTATTGTCGTTGATCTTTTTGTTTAATTGTTACATCGGCTGTGCTTCAATGAAGAAATTTATTGAAAAAGTTTCACACATATAACGCAGACCATAATTCACGCATCAGTGAGAATTATTTCATCTTATCTCTAAAAAAAAGTATTAAGACCAATTATTGATCGTCTCCCTTTTGACAATAAAGGTGGCACGTGGGGCTTATATTGCGAGGCAAGATCCGGGAGAGAAAAAAGGGCTCTAATTCCCGTCGCAACCCCCCAGCATCCCCCATCCGTCCACCCCTGTTGAAAATCTTGCTGGCTCGGCGCGGACTCGTTTCTCCGCTTATTGTTTACATCACGGAATTTCACCTCGCCGCCGCGGGCTCGCCGCTTTCATCAAAACAAAAGGGTGAAATCATAACGATCACGACCGGACAGTACAAAGCGATCTACTTTTATTTCTTTTTGTTTATGTGAGATGATTTGGCCGTGTTCCAGCTGGCCGAGAGTAAGACGTGTCCATCTCCCTCTGATTATGCGTTTAATAATCCATAGCGATGCGTCAAGCCGGTTGCCTACCCGTAACTTTGAGCCCACACGTCTTAATTCAAACGAATGAACGAACCTTCGCCGGATGAAGATTAGATTAATGTCGTGCACAGCCGCTCCCCGCATAAATTGCGGCTTGTTTACACCGGGGAGAGTAAATTCATTTGCTCCACATCCCCACAGGATTAAACCCTTTTTTTATAAAAACTTTCATGGACCGCTCGAAAAACTATTCACGTTAATAGAAGCTCTCAAAAGCACTTAAATCTCACGCTTGTGATGGAAATTTTGATGGGTCAGCTCTAAACGAACCAAAAATTAGGCGCAGTGAAAGGGGTGAATATTAAGTGCTTTACGCGTATATAAAAAAAAGTCCTGAGTGATCCCTTTCGGGAGCCGAAACATCACGCGCGCGCCAGCCCGCTTGAAACACCAACGGGATAGGTGTATTTTATAAGAGGATATGTGTACGAGAAAGTTAAAGCACCGGGATGAAATGCTCTCGGACGGATGCACTTCATTTGAGCCGAAAGAACACTCCGTCTTTTATATATACACGCGTGCAAAGCTACACCCGCGCCACTTCAGGGTGGAATAAACCACTTCAACGCGGTGCGCGCGCGAGAGAGTTTTTCACTTTTTTATTTCTGCAAAAGTGTGTGGATCGATGAATGCGATATAACGCAGCGCTTGAAAAAATACCAAACCACTTGAATATAATGACTAAAGTAATCAAGCCGAGTTTGTTGCTTCGAATATGAAGGAATGTACAGATACCCTGCTGGGATAATTAGACATATTAAATTCTCAAACTGTTAGCTATGCATTTTTTGATTTGTTTTTTCTTTCACTTGTTTTCTATTGAAAATGTAATGATTTTTTAAGGATTAATTCATTTATGAAGTGATTTCAAAAATAAGAGAACAATACCGCGGTGACCAAATCTCTTTTGATGTCGAGCGTTTTAGCTATAGTGTTAAACCCTTTCTCATATTTGTTTTCCAATTTATAAATTTTATGTATCGACCGCGAAGATTTATAATTATAATCATTACAGTAGGGCATGTGATACATAGCGAGAAGTCTCATTCTTTCCCTTATACCCCGATGAGAAGGAAGACTAAAGCTTATTATTGAATAATTATTTAATATTGTTCCAATACACACATATCACAAATAAATTTTTGTTATATTAGAACAAATAACTTTTTATCAGTTTTAAAAACAAAATTTTGTTTTAATTATATAGTATAAAGCATATTATTATAAAATAAATGTTCTATGAAAGTTTAAAGGATTTAATACATTTTAATTAAATCTGAAAATTAAAGTACAATCTAATTTTTTTATTTACGTTAAATTGAAACTTAAATGTAATATTCTATTCTATGTATAATCTACAAAAATTTTTATGTTCTTCACAAATCAAGTGGGTTTTTATGCCGATTGACTGCCATTTGATTTCTTACTATAGTGACAAAAACCGCCTACGTCTTAAACTTTTTATAAAAAAAACATTAGGATCTTATCTTATGAAATTCCTAAAATAAATGCTGCTGATAAATATTTTTGTAGGACGCATGTCTTAATTTAATAGCAAAAGCCTTTAGATATGCCATGTTGTTGGAAGTGATTTTAAAGTAATTTTTTATTTATTTATTAATTATAAAATTTTCTGTCAGAGTTGTTTATTTAAATAGACAGTAAAACAGAACCTAACACTGGTCAGCCTTTAATAATCTCTCTCTGCTTCTCTAAATTTTTAAATACACCGTGATTTGAAGCAACTGCCCAGGATGTAGAATGCACCACTGTTAAAGACAACACACACGTCTGCCTCTATTTATCAGGAGGTAATGGACTTGGACTGATGGCCAGTCCAAATGAAATAGTAAACAGATGGCCGTGAATGCCTGCGATTCCCACGGACTCCCTTGGCTGACTTTGGCCAACTCAAAATCGTGTGCCACTCTTTTTGTGTACAACAAGCAACAATAATTATGACATCAGCGCGGTGAAAATAAATCCAGAGCCGAAAGAAAAAGGAAAGGCCGGGTCTGCAAAATGGTTAGGGCTGAACAGTGGCTCAGCTTTGTGGCGCTGTTCAATATTTAAATTTGCCAGCGCCTGTGAATAATGCATGGCCATGGTCCCAAGTGAACGTTGCCTTTTGGCGGCACGTGAGAGAGACACAGTGTCATTGTTTAACAGCGCAAAAGTCGGGCAGTTCAAAGTTTCTTGTGTAGAAAGCGTGCTTTAAATGTTCGGATTTCTTGCAGGATTTACAAAAGATTTGTAAGAAATATTTATCAAAATAAAATGCGACTAATTTTTTTGTAGTCAGTCTGGAGCTAAATATCAGCATTTCAATATTTTTCATCACTTATTTGCTAATTAATAGAGAATTAAACAGAGATCCTCTTGTCAAATTAAATGTTGATATATTATAATGTCTGTATTAAAATAGAGCAATAAATATATATTATTTATGTAATTAAGTTTGTAGATCCATAATTTTTACACTGTGCAGTACATCCGACAGATCAAGGAAACAAATAAAAATAATAAATTTAGTTTTATAATCTTTATTACAAAAAATTATTTAAATTAATGTTAAGCAACAATAAAAAGGAATAAAAATAAATATTATAGCTTCATTAGATTTTATTATAAATTTTAATAAATTTATAAAAATTATCTTTCACTGCCCTTTTCTGTCTGTTCAAATGACCGAGCCGTGCGCGAGCACAAGTGTGTGCCGCAATCAAGCCGCAGTCGAGCAAAATAAATGTGTACGTTTAGCGGCGCAACCCCGTCTGCTGCTGCTTGTTTTCTTTTTGCAGAAAATCCAGTCGCGCCGCCTTTGCGATTTTGTTTAACGCGCACGCCGCCGGCAAAATGTATACGTTTTAATATTCAAAAAGCGCCTTTCGCACCATCAGCAAAATATTACAAATCGAACACGCCGCTGCTGTCGATGCGGGCTAAAAAAGTGATCGGCGTTTTTTTGCAGGAAAAGAGTTGTTACATAGAAGGTTGCAAAAAAGGGAAGAAGGTCGCAGATGTGTGGAAATAACGAGGCGTGTCAAAAATCTATAGATATAGAGGAGGCGTTTTTACGTATTCCCTTTTACAACCCCCGGTATAAATATCGCCAAGAGAAAACGAGGAGCAATCGCTTAGAGGGTTCTTCCCAAGTCGCGGATAAACGGCGTTGAAAAAGCGTCCTTTGTGTTGTGTGTGCGTGCGAGTGATAGGTGTGTGCAGAGAAATAAATCTAAGCACGAACGAGACAACAATCTATGTTGCTTTCTCGGCAGGTAAAAAAGAAACGTGTAGAAAAATGGAAAAGAAAGGAAAAAAAACCATCGTGGTTCACCAAAGTTTTGATTTACATTGAATCTGCACTTTATGAGAAATTCCAGTAAAAATCTATAGTGATAATTCTTAAACTGACCGATAAAATCAATGTTTTGAAAAAGAATTTGAAACAAAATAATTTCAGATTATAAATTAGAAAACTCAATCCCTTCAAAATGGAGCTGCTCAACTAATTGATTTTATATGGATTTTATATTAAAACATTTTATAAATAATGAAAAATCAAAACTGGGCAAATCTTGTTTCCAATTTTTTTAAGAAACTCTGTAAAAAAGAGATCCAATCTTTTGTTAAATAAATTTTAAATATCTTGTGCAACAAATAAGAACCCCCTCTTTATTTTTTACTTGGCTGAATCATTTCCGTGATAAAATTTGATACAGATGTATAATTTTATTTATGTATCACCCACAACCCACACTGAACGCAAAAGTTAGTCCCAACTGCCGCATTTTTGCATTTTTTTGTGTGCGCTTGTTATGTGGTGATTGTTTGACCAACAATGCAGCAATGATGAATCTCCCATTGTGATAAATGTGGCCTAACAGCGACAGAGCAGAGGGCAAACTCTCCGTATTGTCATTGTGAACACGACTTTTGATGCGCCCATTGATCTGAATTGTGACAATTTGAAATTAATTCCAGGGGCTCGATCAAAATAAATAATTATACTTGACCTTCTATTAAAAATTACAAAAATTCTAAATTCCAAATGAATCAGATGCGTAGATTATGGCTGGGCTGGCTGGAAATTCCAGGGACCCTGGGCACTGAAGGGGCCTTTTGGCCCAAGTATAAATGATATTGCAGTGTGTGACTAAAAAATTTGAAGATTCTCGCTGCTCTCGCCGTCATTTTCATAATGAAAATTTAAAAAGCAAAAAATTATTCAAACTTGGGCCGATCGAGGGTCCTTTTGGGGCCCGGGGAACACCATTTAAAAATCCCGAACAGACCATTCTGATCATTTCTATGGCTACTTTTACTGAAAAATTTTTTTACACCCTCCCCCGTTTGAACAAACAATTTTCATATTTTTGTCGAACATCTAAAAATCCCGAACAGATTATTCTGATCATTTCTGGCTACTTTTTCCAAACGCTTTTTTTTAAACGTTTGGCTGATGTTGCGAAATTTCTGAATGTTCGACTGATGTGGTGAAATTTCTACATGTTCGGCTGATGTGGTAAAATTTCTAAACGATCGGCTGATGTGGTGAAATTTCTAATTGTTCGGCTGATGTGGTGAAATTTCTAAACGTTCGACTGATGTGGTGAAATTTCTAAACATTCGAGCAAATGAATATCAGATGAACAAGGGAAAAAAATCGATTTTTGACTTTATCTCTTATTTGATCCCTTTTTTTATAACGTCAAATAAACATTATAATTCGGTCTGCATCAGTCCTGATGCGTTTGCTACAAATTGCATGGGTTTTGTTTGCGCAAACGTGTTGGTGTGTTTATTTGATGGCACGGCAACATTTTGATTGAGCAACATTTTGATACATACACGCGCGTGAAGTGCGGCGTTTGATTTTACGAGAGGTACAGCCCGTACATTTCTATGTATACATATGTGCCCCGAGCTTTTCCAATTTAATGTGCCACTCGAGTGAACTGCTGACCCAGAAAAACGAAAGCGGCGGCGCTTTGTCGCTCTTCGGCACGCCGAGTTGAAACAACCCCGGCAATATCATGTGTCTCGTATGTGTTGCTCGCTTCCCTGCTAAAAACAGAGGGGTGCGTTCTGCAAAGTAACACGAATATTCCCACTTTAAAGGCCTTTTGGCATTTGGACCAAATGAAATTTGCTCCGCTAGAAAGAAAGCAGCTGTTGCAAACAAACTTGCTTAATTCCCTTTGACGCGAAGGAAAATTAAATTTTTTACAGCCCTTTTTCTTTTGGGTGGATTTTTTCTGCAGCCGCTAATGGCACGATAAAAAATGAACCCAGTGAGTTAAAAATAAATTTATGGTACAATAACCGGCACCGAGCAGGTCATAAATAGTGTCACTTAGTGTAATTGCGATCAATATTTCACAGAGCGACGGTCGGTTAATATTTTTTCCGCTTTCATAATGCTTCTCAAAATATAACTGGGCAAAAGGAACATCATGTATGAGCTGATTTACGTCACCATTTCCACGTACAGCAAAGGTCAAAATGGAAATATCATATGACAATTACAGAATGCGCCATAACAGAGAGGAGGTATCGGCAAATATAAGTTTGCAAACTCCTCTGCAAAGTTTTGCCAGCAAACAAAACAGGCACCAATCTTGCGCATCATAGCACAGTATCAAAATATTGCCAGTTTGGGGCTTCGGCAAGAGCAAAGTTTTGAACGCCTTTCAATTATTCACACCAATAAAGAAGTTATAGAAAATTAAATTCATCAGCAAATAAACAAAGGGCATTTCTTGCAGAATAAATGCAAACTTTGAATTTCACCAAAGTATATATTGAATAACCTCCATAAACAAATAAATAAAAATTAGATTGAATTCCGAGTTTAAAATCAAAAGCTTGACATTGAAAATTGAGAAAGAAAGTTGACTTTTATCAGAAATTTATTTCCGGTTTCGTTTTTAAGATCTCCATCAGAGTACAAAATTCAAAAATTTATGCCCGTTTCAGTAAGAAAAATAAAACCACCCAATCTGCTGATTCTCAATTAAAGAATACAAATTAACTTATTGATTTTATTTTCCAGTAACTAATTTAAAAATATCTGATATTAAAGTTTCTGCTCAATTTCTGATGGTTTAAGCATCTATCAGTCATTTCATTTGGATCACTTAACGGAGATGGAAGCAAACAAACGGCTGAAATGAGCACTTTGCGCCTATTTCCTCCAGCACGCCTAAATGATCATTGTTCTCTCTCGAAAGTTCCAAAACGCACACCTCTCTCTGGCATATATAGAGAAGCGCGACAATGAGCCAGCTAGTGTTTGTCGACTGCGAAACAAAAGCCTACACCAGACACAATCCCGAGCAGTTTATTCAACAAACACAGAGAGAGACAACGATTACATCTTTCTGGCAATAATATTTGATCAGAACGTGCCTGTGCCGCTTTGTTATCAGTGAGCGAGAACATGTGAATGGAGAGCACCATGATGTAGGAAAAGCAGCCTCCTGCCCGGAGAACGCTTTTCACTCGGGCCGTGTATGAGATCGATATACGCTTCGCACACCAGCAGTGGCACATCAGCCCCCGAAAGGGAGAGAGACACACACACGCTTCATCGGCCTGCTGACTGACTGCGGGGTCGTTCGCTTTCGCGCACAAAACCACCCCCTGCGGAGGAGATCATCCCTTTCACTGTGCGAATCCGAAATCTCCTTTTCTTTTGTGAAAATCAAAGAAAGGGTTTTGAATCGATGCGTCCCAGTTTCTTTCGTTGTGTGATGAATTTTTATTATTATTCTGACACTCGAAGAAAAGAGATTGCCAAAAATAAAGACTACTTGCCCATGTTCCGGTGATGATGTTGGAGCCGAGGCCGAGAACCGGCAGCCAGTAGAGGGCAAAAAGGCCCGCCACCAGCTGCACTGCCCCCGCCGCCACGTAACACAACCCCCAGAGCACGTGACACAGCCCCCAACAGGGAACTTGCGAGTCGCGGGGTCCAGCCATCGCCTGAAACAAAATGCACATAACATTTAATACATTCTATGATATTCAATTTGTATTTTAAAATTAATTTATTTAAATATTTCTAATTAATATTAAGTTATAAGATAAGAAGCAGGGGTTTAATGTAAGATACCAAAATCATTTACTATTTTTGTGATGTTTTTTTTCACTATACTTGCTTAATTTTCAGATCTACTTAACGAAAAATTGGGAGAGAGTAAGGAAGAGAACGTAATTAAATTAATGCTTTTTTTAATATTCAGAACAAGATTTACAGTTTTAATGAGATCTTGAAATTCAAAGAATAAACGCAGAATCAATTGCATCTGATCGACTTAAAATATATAAATTTTTACAGAGATCAAAATTCCAATTATCGTACTGTAAATGAATTTTCAATGTTAATTATTAATTAAATTTTAAACTAGATTACTTGCTTGGTACGAATTAATTTGAAATGTAATATCTGGCTATGCGAAATTGCTCCCTGTGCGGTACTTGAAAATTTCAGCCGCATACCAAATCGCTTGGGATGCGAATAATTCAGGCGCTCGGTTTGTCTGTAATCCGGGGCACGCTGATTTTACGCCCTGGCTAATCTCGGTCTACCTTTCTCTCTACGTGCCTTTGCGGATTCACAATAATCAAATCACGCCAAGCCGAACCACTGAAATGGGAGGACATGAAAGCTGCAGCTCAAGCTGGGAAAAGGGCAAATTACATTGTGTGTCGATTTAATGTGGACGCACGCAAACAGACGGCGGCGCAGTCAAAAGCTTTTACCCCAGTTTACGAGAAGGGCATTTACGGCGGAATCGTATTTGATATTTTTTTTTTTTAATTTTCAAATGCTTGGCTGCAGCTTTTGAGGCTTCGCAACAGCACCAATCTCTACTCTCTGCAGCGCCTTTACGCCGAGACTCCTTTTCGCGTGCGCCTAAGTGATATTTGAGCTCGGCTATACCTCTTTCCCTCCGTTTCGTGCAATTTATTTCCACAGAGCTAGGCGGCTTCTGTTTGCGACAGAAGCTCCCTCTCTGCTTTCGTTCGCCGCTTGGTTAGGGGCTAAAAGGGACAGAAATTGAGAAACATGATGTCGTCCCATGTTTTCAAACTACAAAGAGATGTGAGACATGTTGAGGCTGATTTTGTATTATATTTCAACTAACAATGTTTTCACATATTTAAATTGAGCAAAAGTGGCAAATTTACTGTACTAGTGATTAATTTTGAGGCCCAATTGTCCTGGTGGGAAAAGTTGAGCCATTAATTAACCCCTCCTTCATCCCCTACAAGTGCAAATTTTAATTGTAAGATCTTGATTCCCATGCTGAGAGAGATCTCTGTAATGAAATTTTACTTTTTTTTTTAACTCTATATTAAAAATCTTTAAAGGAGATGCTTATAATAAGTTAACAATTAAATTAAATTCAGCTTCACGGTTTTATACAAGGCTAAAAATTTGTAAAATGAATTTATTAGAAGAACTAAAAAACAAAACTTAAATTCAATCTCCTATTTTTATAAAAGCCCAGTCAGAGGAAAATAAACTTTCAATGGATATCATTAATGACGATTGAGATTTAAAGAGCCAATTAACAAGCGCAGCTGACACTTTCCATTTAAAAAAAGAGTTGCAGCAGAGAAACGGAGCAAAAGTTTAGCAAAGAGCGTTTCTACGGTTGAAGTAATTCCAGACCATCAGAGAGTAATTAATCCATTTTCTGCATTCTAGACAATAATCTGATTGCAAAAGCAGCAGATGGAAATCTCTCCTCCACCATTGTTGAAGATTAATTGCACCTCGCTGGGATATTCGGTTTAGCGGAGAGGCCGCAGATGATCGGGTTGCGCAAAAAGCGGCGGCTCGAGCGACGTTACTGCGGTTTTTGCTGAATGTCACTCGCTCTTGAGACATGCATGGGGTGACTGATTATCTAAATACGTCCGACGTGTGTGACGCGATTCACGTGCTGCTGGAAGTGGTCAGCAACTCATAGGCCCCGGAATAGGGATCGACGCTGTTAAGAAACGAAACGCAGCAGCAGATCGAGTGGTCAGTAAATATCAGAGACGCCGGAAATGACCTCTCGTTTTTCCCAAAACGAGCCCTTTCCTTTGAAGCGCGCGGCCCGTCCGTCAATAATCAATTTGCAAACGTGTAAACATTTCAGAGTTTGTGAATATCCGAGGGTTTTTTTTTTATTTGCGTCGACGGGATTTTCGCAGGAACTGTTTTTGAAATGGGTTACTCCATTATACATATTATCGCATAAACTCAAAAGGAAGAGATGAAGAAGCCGAGTGTCGAGCTATAGAGAAACGGCTCCTGGCATTTTTCCAAAGGCAGCTTGCCTCCTTTTTTAACGGCAGAGCTTGCGAAGATGAAGTTTATGAACTGTAATTAAAAGAGTGTGTCCCATTAAAAGAGAGCAGAGGCGGATTCAAGAGTTTTGGTATGCAAAAAATACAACAAACGCTGCAAAGTATTCATGTTTTTTTTAATTAATTAAGGAAAAAGTATGTAGGGACGTAAAGTTTGTGATGAACAATTAATACGAGAAGGAAATTCAAATTTTTATAGCGCCAAAAGATAAGAAGTAAACTTCCAACGTTGGCTTCTTCTTTTTATATTCAATATTCTAGTTCTAGTTTTTTTGTACCTTGTGAATTTTTATTTAATATTTTTTTATGGAGTAGGTTTACAATGTTTTAAGTTATGCATAATCATTATGGATTGTTATTATAAATTTAACTTAGAAACTGCAAAGAAACAAATTAATTTAAAACAATGAAAAAAAAAGAATTTAATTTAGAATTAATGCAAGCATAAATTTTTGCACAAAAATAATACTTACAGTGCTGATAAAACAAGCTTAATTTAGTTTTTTGATTTTTTGCAAGTTGATTAAAATCATTCTTTGCAACTTTTTACTTTCTCTTATAATTTACTGTACTTGGATTTTAATTTACTTCAATATGAGCCAATTTACAAAGTAAAATTTTTGGAAACAACTGAAAAGAAAATTTTACCTAATGGAAACTTTCAAAAAATTTCATATCTTGTTAATTTTTTGTCTTTTCTACTGAAGAGGATATAATCAAGAAAAATGCTTTGAATTATTTCGGTCCTGCGTTTGACGTTTCAAATTTTGTGTAATTGCTTTTATGGGAAAAATCAATTACTCTCAAAGTGCTTTTTATCTCATGAAATGAAGCACTATATGCGTTTTTTTCCCCAGAGTTCCACCGGTCCCATCCACTACATTTCACAGAACCGAAAAGGGCTGAAAGATAAATGAACCGTGATAAAGAGCGCTCCGTCGGCTTCGGTCGCCATAAAGTAGCAAGAAACATTGCGCAGGTGGGGTCTGTTCGCAAAGTAAAAGGTAGGCAGCACGCAACACACACATTTCATCATTAGCCGGATTATGCTCTGCATATAATAATAATACAAGCCCGAGCAACAAGCACTCATTTTTTTCCGCCGCGTCAAGAGCTGATAATCGTTAAATATAGTCTTGTTGCTCGACGAGAGACAAAATCGAAAAAAAAGGCGCTGATGTAATTTTGAGCAATTTATTTTTGGCGCGCGCCACTGCATCACATGACACAAAACTGATACATAAAACGCACATACTTGTTGCTTTTCCTGCCGAAAAACAGGGTGTATTAAATAATGAAACTTCACAGCCTGGGGTGACCTTTCGGCCAGAAAATTGAGCGGAAACAGGGAATGAAATGAAAACTCACCCGCTGAGTGCAGAAGGGTTGGCCAAAAGTGATGGAGTGAAAATAATGCAAACAGAAATTCTGACGGAGAGCTTTTTACTCTAGTCTCATTCACTGTTCACATCAGAGACGTGAGGTCAGAAGTCAATCGGACTCTCTTGCTTGATTGCCTGTCAAGGCAGCGGTTTAGGATGATTCACGCACGGGACTAAATGTAATATTGTATTATGCGCATGAGGAAAACTGGATGGGACGGCGGAAATAAATATGTTATACACACAATAAAGTCTAACAAGTGTGAAAATATACGCTGATAAAAATTATTTTAGCACATCCGCAAGGAAAGACTTTTTTAGTAAATTAAAGTAACTAAAACTGAGTTTGATTTATCTATAATCATTGATTATTAGATTAATGTAAGTAAATAAGTATTAACTGTATTCAAAATCATACCAAATATATTAGAGGACTGTCGGGAAAAGTGAACTATTTCACATTAGCGTTAATTAATTATGGTTTTCTGTAATTTACATAGACTTTATTTTAAATAATTAAATTTTTGATTCAAATATAATTTAAATTATTCTTGGTTAATAATGGAAAGCTTTCAACTTTTTGCTACAATGTATAGTTAAAAAAATATATATATAAAATAATTCATTTCATTTATACATTTTAATTGAATTTATCTAAATAATAAAAAAATTAAGATTTATCATATTAAATTAAATGTAAGAGATATTTAACACCTTTTTAAAAAAAGATCAAAATAAAATTATTGGATAAAACAATTTGTGTGGCGAAATTTAACTTATGCATCTGCTTGCATCTTTGCCCACTTAAAATAAATTAGTACATATTGAAATGACTTCAATACTGTTTCAATGTTGTTCCTTTTGTAATGATCATGTAAGGTAATCATAAACAACCAGAGCTTGAAAAATTTATTAGAAGGGAGAAATGGACTCATTACGGATAAAAAGCCCAAAAATATTGACCTACTTCAGTGAATTTACAAGGTTATAATTTCCGCAAATTTAAGAAAAGTTTATTTTCTTACATCAGCAGCACTTAAATTATAAATTTTTTGCAAAATTTATTGAACAAAAGAGAATCTTCTATCGTCTAAAATTATCGATGTGCAATAGGAGAACAAGAAACTTTTCTAAATTATTAGATATTTTTAGCAATTACTTATGTACAACAAACAACAAGGATCTGTTGAATTAAAATATCAACTTTGAATTTATTTATATATAAAAACCGGAACT